AGGAGTTTTGGTATTAGGTCTTCTTTGAAAGTCTGGTAGAATTCTGTGCTAAAATTGTCTGGCCCTGGGATCTTTTTGGTTGGGAGACTTTTAATGACTGCTTCTTTTTCCTTAGGGATTTTGGTCTATTTCAATTGTTGATCTGATTTCCCTCCTGTTAGGTGGGCCTTCAGTTCAATTAGACAGCTGTTGGTTGCCACTGAGATGTGAATGCCATTTGTTGCTCATTTATACCTATTTTCCATGCTGGTAATTGCCATGGTCCATAGGTGTTGCAGCTAATTCCTTCTCTCCCTTAGCAGCCTGCATAGTATTCTCTGACACCATGGAAGCTAGAAAGGAGGCTTTCAAGTCAGATCCAGCTCAGATTACTTGAGTGAGGTGGTATTGTGTTCCCCGAAATATTGTGCACCCTAATAAACTTATCTGGGGTCAGAGACAGAACAGCCACAATATTAAACATGAGGATAGGCAGTGGTAGCACACGCCTTTAATCCTAGCATTCCAGAGGCAGAAATCCATGTGTTCAAGGATATAGCCAAGCATGGTGACTCACGCCTTTAATCCCAGAAAGCAAGCCTTCAATCCCAGGGAGTGATGTCAGAAAGCAGAAAGATATATAAGGTGCAAGGACCAGAAACTAGAAGCATTCGGCTGGTTAAGCATTCAGGCTTTTGAGCAGCAATTCAGCTGAGACCCATTCTGGATGAGGACTCAGAGGCCTCCAGTCTGAGGAAGCAAGACCAGCTGAGGATCCGGCGAGGTGAGGTTAGCTGTGGCTTGTTCTGGTTCTCTGATTTTCCAGCGTTCACCCCAATACCTGCCTGGATTTGATTTTATTAATAAGAACTTTTTAAGATTCCTGCTACACTTGAGTCCTGTGTCAAAAGTATATGATGATAACCAAGTGGGAGACAGAATAATGGGGAGGGGGCTCCCCCTGGAGAGGAGGAAGGAAGGTCTATACAGAAGGAAGAGGGAGGGGATAAGGAACAAATAACACCAAGGTTGCTTGATAAGACCTCAAATGATCATATTTAGCTGAAATTATACACAAGACATATATGTGTATGTGTATACATACATACATGTATGTAATCTTTTTAACTTTTTAAAGAATTTTTTCCTACAACGTATTCGATCATTCTTCCCCCTCCCCAACCCCTCTCAAACCCTCCCCAACTCCCTACATACCCAATTTGATTTTTTTCTCTCACTCTCACTCTAAAAAGAAAAACCAAAAATGAAAATCAAGACAATTTAAAAAAGAGAAAATAAGACAAAAATACTAAAAGAGTGCACACACACACACACAAAAAAAAAAATCATGGGGTCCATTTTGTGTTGCCCAGTTCCTCCTGGGTATGGCTCCTGCCTTGGAGTGTGGTTAATAGTCCAGGGAACACTCCACTGGAGAAAACAGATTTTCCCTTTCCTGGCTAGTATTAATTGCAGAGAGCTTCTCAGTTAGAGGTGGGACTTGTGCCCACTTCTCCTTCTTAGTGCTGGATTTTTTCTGGTTTGAACTTATATAGGTCTTGTGCGTGCTATCACAGTCCTGTGAATTCATGTTGTCAGTCCTGATGTTTCCTTGGAGTTATCTAGCACATGGACAGTTGACTAATTCTCCCCAGAAGAACCATAGACTAACAGAAACCTCAGGATCAGATGTAAGAAACCTTTCAAATGGTTGGTCAAGGTAATCCAAATGACTCCCAAAACAATATAGATTATCGATGTAGCTATTGGTTACCTCTTGAGTGTGGACCCCTATTGTCAAAGACAAAGAAGTGTCTCTGCAACCAAACCAAACTACTGGGGACTCATGAACTGTGACCCAATAGCTGTGGAGCCCCATGGGACTGGACTAGGCCCTCTGCATAGACGAGACAGTTATGTAGCTTGGCCTGCTTAAGGGGCCCCCTGGCAGCAGGATCAGGACCCATCCCTAGGGCATGAGCTGGGTTTTTGGAGCCCAGTGCCTATGGTGGGACCCCTTACACAGCCTTGGTGCAGGGGGAGGTGCCTGGACCTGTCTCAACTGAATGTACTCTGCTGACTCCCCATGAGAGGCCTTGCCTTGGAGGATGTGGGAATGGGGGTGGGATTGGGGGAAGGCTTGGGGTAGGAGGATGGAAGGGAGGGGGATCTGTGGTTGGTATGTAAAATGAATAGAAAATTTCTTTATTATATATATATATATATATATATATATATATATATATATAAATTGTGTGTGTGTGTGTGTGTGTGTGTGTGTCTGATACTGACTAGCTTGAAAAAGAAATACCTAGAATCAGATGCAATAGAGTTGACTTCTTGTGTCCTCTTCCTGAAGCTGCAGGTCACAGTGCCAGAGCTGTGTGTACTGGTTTTCCCTTTCCTCTGGACAGAAATGCCTTCCTGTCATCTCTAAAACGTCCAGCGTCCGCTTGTTTGCATGAAGTCTGCAGTCAGGATAAATTTGACATTTGATCTTCAGGGCTGTGATTAGACTTTTTGTGGTTCCTGGGGTATCTGTAAGATGGTGGGTTTGGGGTTCTGGTGGTGGTTTTTATTGACCCTGTAATCTAGAGAGCAGGAACCCTGCAGAAGGGCTCCAGGATGTCCCATGATGCCGAGACACGCAGAGGAAAGCTGTCAGATGTGGCGCTGAAACTCTGAACTTTTGTTCCTATTCAAATAAAAAGTTTAATTGGTTTTCAAAAATATTAAAAGTTGATGTATACAATAATGAGATTGTTAAGTGTAATTCTAAATAGGTAGAAATATACTGCCATCTAATGCACATAAGAAAATCCTTGCAAGAGCAGGTTTCTCCTGGAATTATTTATAAACAAATAATGAAATCTAAATTATAAATGAAATGTAAGAATGAGTAGTTACCACAAAGAAATGACATGTTAGAGTGGTAGGTAGTGTTTCTGAAATTTTTTATCCCTTTTCTATTTTGTATATTTGAATTATTTCCCTTATTTCCTCGTGGAAGGAATTCTGACAGTTAAATGGGCAACCCTGTCAGCCTGTGTTCTTTGAATTCCTTCCTTCTGTAGTTCCCTGTCGTGTGGCATGCTGTGTTACAGTATTTCTCGTCCAGAGACATTACTTGCGTTGTCTTTATTGGCACCGCAGCAAGACCAGGGTGCAGACCTCACTGTGCCAGCCAGCTTCGGATTCCTCCTGCAAGCATCGTGTTCCACCTTACCATGGAGCTGGAAGTCTGTCCCAAGCTGCTGCCTCTTTTCACAAGTGCTACTCACCAGGACACCTTTGTACTTCTGTGGAACCAGGTGAGTGTGTGCAAGAATATAGTGGAATGTGGAGTTTTGGAGAATCAAATTTATTCATGTGAGGAGTGGATCTGTGTCTCGGTACTAGAACACTTTCCTGGCATGTGTCCTGTCCTGGGTTCCATCCTCAGCACCACAAAAATACAGACTAAAGGACCCACTGGGAAAGGGTGTGTTAAAGCACTGCGGTTATTATAACTTAGTTCCAAAGACATAAAACTTCACCATCTCTCTAGGCCACCCTTCAAAATACGAGAATGTGATTGGCTGAGCTGGAGTTAGGTTCAGATGTAGCAGTAGCTGTGAATATTAGTCTCTACTGGGGACCGGTCCGGAAAAGGGAGAAGTGTGAGCTAGTTACCACCTAATGAGTTACTACACGGCAGACTTGCTAGGGTGGTAGGGATAACGAAAGTAAGTTAATTAGGGGGTGTAGGCTATAAGAACTAGATTGTAAAACGGTGGAGACGGAGACGGAGATGGCTGGGGTGGGTGTGGGGTAAAGGGCTTGCTGTGTGAACATGAGAACCCGAGTTTAGCTCTCTAGCACCGTGTCAAAACCAAATGATGCACATCTATAACATGGCATGGCGGAGGTGGGAGGCAGGTGGAACCCAGAGGCTCACTAGCCAGCCATTCTAGCTGAACCAGTGAGCCCGAGGTTCCCTGCCCCCAACATGTAAAGTAGAAAGAATGCTAGAAGACAGAGAAGGGCCGAGGAATACCAGAACCCAGTGGCAGAACCCAGCCACTACATTCACAAACTCGTGGCAGCTGTGAACACCTACAGTGAGCCTGCACAAGAACGGGCTTGCCACAGGCAAACGTGGTCGGGGGAGGAGCTCCGGGGCCCTGTGCTCACCGTGGAGCTATTTGCTACTGATAAATTGGAGGTCAGAGGTTATTGCCTTCAGTATTAGCAATACTTAGCAATAATCACAGTGGCAGTATCTTAACCAATGGGTTGAGCTGAGGCATGATTGTTGTCAACTGAAAACTCGTCTGATATGTACCCACTGATAACCCACCAAGCTCCAGTGGATAGTTCCAATCCAACGGTTGCACAAATAGCCCTGGTTAAACTGAACGGGTAACAAAATAAAACCAAAACTACTGGAAAGGAACTGGTAGGAAGGGGGCAGGGTTGCAAGGAATGAAGAGAGATGTGAGAAGATGGGGGAGAGGAATCAGAATGCATCATAGACGTGGATGAAACGGTCAAAGAACTAATTTGATTTTCAAAAGTAGAAAGCAATAGAGGAAGACATCAACTTCTGGGCTCCACATGCATCCATGTGTATACACATGCATAATACACACATACATACACACACACATACACACACACACACACACACACACACACACACTCACACTCTCTCTCTCTCTCTCTCTCTCTCTCTGATAAAGGGAGATGCCATTTATTCTGACCACTCAACCAGAAAGAGTGGCCCCTCTCCCACACACCTTCCCTCGGCTGTTTGAGAACTAACATTTCTTCCTTCGGTCTTCTATTTTCTAGACCAGGCATCTTGATTTCCTTCTAGAAAGCTCTGTTGTGTTTTTAAGAACTCTCCCCCTAACTGGTAGCTATTTTCTGGAGATTACTAGTAGGGAACAGGTCAAAATGGAGACTGAGTTTCCTGTCTTTGTGAGAGCTACCTAATATTAGATTTGATTTTTAAAAAAAAATCACCCAGTCAAGTCATATTGAAATGGATGACATAAAAACTCCAAAAGCTTTGATTTCCAATAAATGACTGAAAAGCTACCTATAGTTTATGTTTTACAATTGATTTTTAAGCCCAAATGCAAATTTCTAAGTTACATTTTTAGTTTGCTTTCAACCCTGCGCATTCTTGAATCATTAGTGTTTATAATTATTACTATTGTTTATAGTTCTAGTGGCTCTAGTTCAGCTGTTCCCAGTCTATGCGCTTTACAGTCTGGTTTTTCTGTGTGCAGATCTGACATCTCCGAATGTGGATGTTAATTAAACTAGTGGCCTTATCATCTCAAGTTTCTCTCCGTTCGAGAACAAGCTGTCAACATGCATGCATGGGGCCTGGTCACCCTGCACGGTTGAAGCAGCGGTGGGGCCTGGTCACCCTGCACAGTTGAAGCAGCGGCCACAGTTCTCAGTCCAACCCACAAGCACACGGAAACGGCTTTCTCAAATACTCTACCACCCTTCCAAAGATGTCAAGCCTCGGGGCGTCCCGAGCACTGGCCTAGTGCCCCTTTTAAGGCTGGAGGGAATCACCTAAGGAGGACTTGATCTCCAAGTCCATTGGCTGGAATCATGCTGGGACATGTCCTCAAGTAGCTTACAGAACCCACTCAAATTTCAGCTCATTGATTTTTTTTTTTTTTTTTTCCTTCTATACTACCTCAAAACTTGTAATTTACAGCAGTTTCCTGACAAAAGGGTTGATCTGGGGACTACAGGCCTGGAGGTGGTTCAATTCTAGTTTCTCTTTACCTATCTCACCTATCATGGGCATTCACTCCCGTGTTTTCACGCTTTCTACCCTGTTTGGGTTTCATGGGCTCTTTATTGTACTCTGCCATTGTTTGGATCCAGAAATGAGCCAGGTGACCAGGGGCCAAAATCAACCACTTTTCATTTCAAGTAGATTGCCTCGGCTGTTGGTTTGAGTAACAGAAGTTGAGTAACAGGGTCTTGCAGCACTATACTCCCACGAGCAAAGCTGAACAAGCCACACTGCTGACACCATCAGGTGGTACAGTCTCTGGCTGTCTACACGCCTCCTTGTGAAAATATAACAACAGCGTTAAATGAAAAGGTAGAGTTCGGTTAGATTTTGGTACAATCTACAGAAAAATTCAAGCCACAGTAAGGATTAATGTGGAAGCCATTGTGAAGGTTTGAATGTAACTGGCCCCCATAATCTCATAGGGAGTGGAGTGGCACTATTGGGAGGTGTGGTTTTGTTGGAATGGGTGTGGCCTTGTTGGAGGAATTGAGTCACTGTGGGGGAGGGCTTTGAGGTTTTCTATGCTCAGGATATCACCAAGTGTGTCAGTTGACTTCCTGTGGCCTGCATATCCAGGCGCAGCCAGCACCACATCTACCCACATGCTGTTACACTCCCCACCATGAAAATAATGGGCTGAACCTGAAACTGTAAGCCAGCCACCCCAAGTAAATGTTTTCCTTGTAAGAGTTACCATGGTCATGTCTCTTCACAGCAATAAAAACCCTAAGACAGCCATAGAACCAACAACATCACCAGAATGAACTCAGGAGAACTGTGGCTCGCCTAAGAATGAACAGAGAAGCTGTACCATCTTCCGTAACTCAGGGTTATTCCCACTTCCTACCTTCTCTTGATGTGCAAGCCTCTCTCCTTTCCCAACAGAGCAGGCTCACTGCTGGCTGGCCGCAAAGCAGGAGGGCTACAGTTCAAATCCCACATTCCCAAGGAAGAAGGAAGAAGGAAATTCTTGTTTGGCTGGGTAGGAGCAATACTCCACACAGCAGAAAGAATTCAGCAGAAGCGAAAGAAAGCAGACAGAGCTGGCATGGAGAGTAAGGAGAGGACGGAAGGAGAAGAATGGAAGGGTAAACTCACCGTCTTTGCTACTCTAAAGGGAACAGATACTCCTCTGAAGGAATCTCTCTGGGCAGGGCTCATGAATCTTGGCCAGGATGTTTAACCTCTTTGGAGCGGGGAACAGTAACAACTAGTTATGCCTGCCTTCCACAAAATCAGAAGTCATGTATCTCAAGAGTACTTAGCATACAGGACAGTGGCATTCAAAAATGGCAGAGTGTGTGTGTGTGTGTGTGTGTGTGTGTGTGTGTGTGTGTGTGTGCGTGTGCGTGCGCGTGCGCGTGCGTGTGCGTGTGTGTGTGTGTGTGTGTGTGTGTGTGCGCGCAGGCACACATGCAGGTCAGAGGACAACTTTTGGGAATTAGTTCTCACCTTCCACATTGCTGAGGCAGGGTCTCTCTGGTTGTTCTCTGGCCCACAAGCTCCCATTTCTCACCCCTGGCTTCCTCATCACCATAGGGTGGACACGGCCATCAGGATTGAGTGTCTGAGTGCTTTTGGCAAGCAATTTCACTGGGCCATTTTCCCGTGTGTGTGATTATAAATGTTAAACACACAATACAGATGATTTTTTTCTTAGAAAACTGTTGACTTGTTTCCACCAATATTGTTTAGCAGATCTGAGGAACCAGGCCGTTCCGTCTATTAGCTGAAGACACAGGAAAAGTGAGAAGTAAACAGTCACATCAGTTTTCTGTGTTCCCACCAACAACTGCTTTATTTCCTTTCTTTTGAGACAGTCTCGTGTAACCCAAGCTGGCTTTGAACTTCTGTGTCATAGCCAAGAATGACCCTGAACTGCTCCTCTACCTCAACGGCTGGAACTACAGATTCTGCCCACCACACCAGTTTTGAACTCATGCAGACCAGGTAGGTACTCCATAGCTGAGATGCAGCCCTGACTTACCCAATAGAATGTATCATTCTGTTAGCTGCTGACTGAAGTAACTACTGACACAGAGTCCCAATCTCTTTCCTCAGTTTACCGTCCAGAGAACTCAGTTCATATGAGAAACTACATATAGAATGCGCAGAAAGGATTCCGAGACCTAAATTTACCAATCACGATTAGTTTTCTCACTATTACTCAATGGCATGAAATGAAATTTTTAAAAAGGTGAAATCTCAATTATAAAAATAGGATTTACAGGGCTGGAGAGATGGCTCAGCAGTTAAGAGCACTGTCTGGTCTTCTAAAAGACCCAGGTTCAATTCCCAGCACCCACAGGCAGCTCACAATTGTTCGTAACTCCAGTTCTAGGGCTTCTGACACCCTCACACAGACACACATGCAAGCAAAACACCAATGCACACAAAATTAAAAATTAAAAAAGGATTTATTTATATGTAGATACATACAGAATACAAGATGCATTCCTGATTACACACAGATTCTGCTTCCCCACTGGAAAGCTGTATGTGCGCACAGAGAATGCTAAGACCTCCTCCAAGTCTCCACTGTATTTTCACCTTCAGTCTCAACATGTTTCCTTTCACAAGTGTCTTAGAATCAACCACACATTAGCATCTGCCACTAAAATCCTGTTATTACAGAAAGTCTATCTAGCAAATGTTTTCATCTGAGATTCAAGAACATGTAATGCAGTAAGTCTCTTTCAACTTTATCAATCTTTTATTCCATATACCCAACTTCCCCAGTCTTTAGTACTCTGGTAGGGACCCTGAACTGGAGAGCACAACACGGTACACGGGAGCATGATCATTCCTTTTCTCCACTGGGAAGCCAATGTATTGTTTTGCCTTGGAGTGCTGTGCTTCGGATTAAGCCCAAGGCTTATACTCTGAAACTAACATACTCTCGGACGAAAGTGAAGTAAATCAATGATTTGTCTTCCTACCAGAGAAGCATCTTAAATAATTTTGTTAGGTGTTGCCTGTAAATCTATTACTGTAAGAGTCCAAATTCGTTTTCCCTTTAATAAGCAACCTCCTTTGCTGTGTACCTGAACGGTGATGATACTGTATAGAAATGCAGCAAATATCCCTTCAAAGAAATACACGTCACACTTTGAGAACTGCAGACTGAGGCTGTAGCTCAGTGCTAAAGTGCTTGCTTAGCATGGCACCAGGCCCTGGGTTCAATATATAGCACAAGAAAATAAACACATAAATACTTGTACTCAGTGGTGACTATCTCAGTAGTGCACTCTGTACTGCCTTGAGGACAAACCACATCTGTCTGTTTTCAATATTCTCAGCACTTGTCAGAACACCCGGTACACAGGTTAGTAGATATTAAACAGAAAAATAATGTTCAATTCCAACTGACTCAGAGGCTAGAGTGTCCATTTCCACATGGGAATAATTTTATTATAGAATGCTAAGGGGAAATAACAGAATAATATGTACATCTTCACAGGAATGGTAACTCTGTATATATTCCAGAGATAAAAGCAGTGTTTCAGGTTTCCAAAGGCTTTTGGCTTGAATGTAGGGCCTTGTGCATACAAAGCAAACAGGCGCTCTACAGCTGAGCTATACCTCCCGCCTCAAAGCTGTGGTTATAATGGTAGCTAACGGTGATGTCAGCACCATTTTTACCATCAAGAATAATAGTCTCATAGAAGACACTGGTCCGCGCAGCAGCTTACTCGGTTATATGACACAATAGGTATACAGAAGCTTTTGAGCCATTGCAGTGTTCCCGCTGCCCTGATAGATGAGAGACATGTTGTAGGCAATATCTCTTCGGAGGTCCAACTGGTCAACCTCTATGCCCTAGGAGGAAAAGCGAATGAGTATTTTATTTCCAACTGTCAACCATGTCAACATGACAAACTTCTGTCATTTTACAGAATGATTTAAATTCATATAATACTAAAACCAGAATACCTTGGACCTACCTACACTGATTCAGGTAATTATTATCATCACAGTTTTGTCAACTGTCTAACCAATAGTCATAGCAGACTTCAATTCTGCCTCACTGAATGGCACTGCAGAGCGGCCAGTGGCCTCCACTGAGTGCTTGTCAGCAAGCAGTTCCCTTGCTGGGCTGAAAGTTCACTTTCACTGATGGAGCCCAAAATGTGTGCTGCTGCCCATAGTTTGCTTCAGGAATTAAAGTGTCAGTTAAACTTTAAAGACTCTCTTAATAATGGCCGCTCTGTCTGTAGGAGGAGGTGGGGAGATGGCTGAATGGACAGCGCTTGCTGAGCATGCAGGAGGACCTGAGTGCAGATCTCAGGACTCAGGAAAGCTAGACGCAACAGCACATCTGTAACGCCAGGGAGCCTACAGTGAGCTGGGCTGCGGAGAGGCGCCCAGAAGCTCATGGCCAGCTAACCTGGTGTGCACAGCAGCTCACAACACACAGACTGTCTCAGAAACAACAGAAGGCAAGGACCAACCCACCAAGTTGTTCTCGGAACTCCACAGTATACATATGCTTGCAATCACGTGACCTCCCTACATACAAAGCAGGGTTGGTTTGGTTGGTTTTTGATGAAACAGGTGGTTGTTGAACTTGGAAATAAACAGTGTACACTATTCAGGATTCACAACTTCCAGCTCCTATCTGGAAAGCACAGGAGCTGCCTCTGCATAACTGAAGAGGGTTAAAGGTCATAACCACATGTGCACAGGTTCAAAAAGTTGTTGATAGATCTTAAGGCCAGGATGTCAAAGATTTTCCTACTGCTGAACCTCAGGATAAATATATTACAGAAAAAAGCATTTTGAGATAAGATCTTCATGAAGCCTGAGATGGCCTTCAGCTTGAGGTCCTGCTTGGTTTCCCATGAGATTGTTGACATGTATCACTATACCTGGCCCCAAACACATTTTACTACACACTATGATTTACCTTACTGTCTAGACCACAGTACACAGCAGAGCGTACTTCTCTACAGATAAAGGAAGCCATGTGTCAGTTACCTCAACCACGAGCGGAGGGAGCGCCAGAGCCTTCTGGTAATAGTGGATTGCAAGGTGAGCCAGTCCCAGTTGATGGAGGCCGCGGCCCAGATTGTAGAAAGATTCCTGGCAAGGTCCACGTATGCTGAGGTACCGATTAAGGAAGGAAAAGCCCTAGCAAAGGAAAAGGATGGCTGAGGATGCTCGTCTGAGAATTCCACCCACTCAGTGCAGCACACTGGAGGAGGAGGCCAGGCTTGCTGGAGTTGGCCGCGTCAACAGTAACCCACCAATGTGCTGTTGATGCCGTGAATCGTAACAACACTGACCACATCAGAGTTTATAATCTGTCTGCCCAGTCCAGCTAGCCTTGACCAGCTGCCTGCCACCCTCTGCGTACACACTGGTGAGGTTATATCCATATTAGAATAAACTTTTTTTAACATAGTTTTGAATTATTATTAGAACTAATAGAATATTCTCTCTTGCTCGTAACTCTCTTTCTGGCAGAGTTAGACATATTCATGGAACTAATGTTCTTGCACAAAAAACGAATTCCAAATGGATCAAACCCTACAACTGCCAGAAGCAAACCTAGCCAGTGCCTGTAGGTGTAGGAAAGGACTCCTGAACGGGACTATTGCCAACAAGTGACAAGAGGGACTTCACAAGACTGAAAAGCTTCTGCACAGCTATGCATCTGACAGAGGTTAACATCTAGAACACACAACTCAAAAACCAGAGTCAAAAGACACACATCACCCATTCAAAAAATGAGTCTGGGACTTGAACAGAGTTCTCCAAAAAAAAAAAAAAAGAAAAAAAGAAAAATGACTGAGAAATACCTCCTCTTATCCTGGTCAAAACGGCAAAGATCAGTGAAACTGACAAATGAGATGCAAGGAAAGAGAGACCCTCCATCACTGCTGGAGGGACGGGAAACTGTGTGGAGAAGTCTCCAGCTGAAACGAAATCTACCACATGAAGTGGCCAGACTACTCCCTGGTGTGTGCCCAGAGGACCTCCCACTCCTGCTCTAATCATAAAAGCTGGGAAACAGAACAACCTAATGTCCTAACCCGACAAACGGATAAAGAGAGTGTGATTCACACACACCATGGAATACTAGTCAGCTGCAAAGAAAAATGAACCGTGAACTTTGCAGGTAAGTGGGGACCTAGAAACGATCTTACTGAGGGAGGTAACCCAGACCCAAAGACAGACTGTGTGTGTTCTCGGTCACTGGAGGCTCCGAGCTCCGACCTCAGACATGAGGACAGCCTGTAGTAACCACAGAACTCAGGAAATCAAATGGGAGCACTGTCAGGATGAGGGGCGGTGGTGAGTAGAGGAGAAGGGAGTAAACAGCGGGAGCACGTGATCTACGGTAAGAGGGGAGGAAGTACAGGAGGAGGAGGGTAAAGGAACAGCGGGAGCACGTGATCTACAGTGAGAGGGGAGGAGGAAGTACAGGAGGAGGAGGGTAAAGGAACAGCGGGAGCACGTGATCTACGGTGAGAGGAGGAGGAAGTACAGGAGGAGGAGGGTAAAGGAACAGCGGGAGCACGTGATCTACGGTGAGAGGAGGAGGAAGTACAGGAGGAGGAGGGTAAAGGAACAGTGGGAGCACGTGATCTACGGTGAGAGGGGAGGAGGAAGTACAGGAGGAGGAGGGTAAAGGAACAGCGGGAGCACGTGATCTACGGTGAGAGGAGGAAGTACAGGAGGAGGAGGGTAAAGGAACAGCGGGAGCACGTGATCTACAGTGAGAGGAGGAGGAAGTACAGGAGGAGGAGGGTAAAGGAACAGCGGGAGCACGTGATCTACAGTGAGAGGGGAGGAGGAAGTACAGGAGGAGGAGGGTAAAGGAACAGCGGGAGCACGTGATCTACGGTGAGAGGAGGAGGAAGTACAGGAGGAGGAGGGTAAAGGAACAGCGGGAGCACGTGATCTACGGTGAGAGGAGGAGGAAGTACAGGAGGAGGAGGGTAAAGGAACAGCGGGAGCACGTGATCTACGGTGAGAGGAGGAGGAAGTACAGGAGGAGGAGGGTAAAGGAACAGCGGGAGCACGTGATCTACGGTGAGAGGGGAGGAGGAAGTACAGGAGGAGGAGGGTAAAGGAACAGCGGGAGCACGTGATCTACGGTGAGAGGGGAGGAGGAAGTACAGGAGGAGGAGGGTAAAGGAACAGCGGGAGCACGTGATCTGATGGGAATGGGACTGACGGGCTCTGGGGCTAAAAGGGAGGAAGTACAGAAGGAAAATGGAGGAAAGTAAAATAATGTCTGAAAAAGACACAAGAAAACAGACTATTAACTATTTGCCTTAAAAACCCCTGTAATTCTGTGTATAAATACACATATATAATTCTAATGAACTTACCTGGTGCTCCCTTGAAGAGCCAAAGACTAAAAAACCCACTACCAGAGATGAGAAACCTGAGTTGCTGGCCTAGGCTGCCCAAGAGACCCCCAAACACACAGCCTATTGCTGTCGCCCTTGGTGGCCCCCAGAAGTGGAAAGTGAGTCCCTATTGCCGAAGGCACCATGCACTTGAGAAACCCCTGAGCTGGAACTGACCTGAATGCCCCCTCTCTGAGGACTAGCTTCCATACCAGAAGGCAGGCACCAGGCAAGCTTCCACAGGAGGGAGGCAACCACCATTCCCACACAGCTATGACGCCTATGAAGCACAGAAACGGCCACCATAGCTGGAGAGTCCTACAGGGGCATCCCTCAGCAGTAACCACAGCTTTCTACCTGTATTAAGACCCACTCAACGAGAGGAAAATCGTGCCTGGTGCTGGAAACCTAGCTAGCTACTAAAGCACTGCTAGTAAGGTCGTGGCTATTGGAGGAGAATCTACAACCACTACTTTACTAAAACAGCATCATCCCTAACAATCTATTAAACATTTGTTCTTATCCCCACAGGTAAGTGCAGTCTTCACCCTCATCAAGGAACATTTTCTTTGCAACAGATAGACCACAAATGCAGAATTACGGAGCCCAATTCCAGTGGAAACATCTACAAAACATTTCCAGGCTCAGGAAGCATTGTGGAAGAGGAAGCAGAAAGACTAAGACATCTGTCTCAACCTCTGGCCTCCACACATGCACACCAATGTGTGTTGATGCCTGTACAGACCTGTACAGACATGTGAGTAGACATACAAAACTAATTCAATGAATCTTTATGGGAGCGCGAACTACCTGAGGTCCTAGAGTATAAAAGGGCCTGAATCAAAATGCTGTATATTTACCTATACCTGCCATGATCTGACTGTATATGCTCACCACACACACAGCTGTAAATCAGGCTTAATCTTCAGTATAACAATATGCTGAGTCCCATGAGTTGGGACACAGGCGTAAGTGTGGAGTACTCCCAACATGTGTATCAAGCAGGCATGGCTTTTGAGAAGACATGACCCATATTCGCTCATTACCTGCACAGTCAGAGCGTGTCTCTTCAACACGTACTTCTGCGATGCCATGTGGATGAAGGTCAGGCCGATGCAGAGATTGTAGAGGGGCTCACTGGGGTAGGTACGGAAGGCTTGCACATACTGTCCTGGAGAGAGGGAGGCCAGACGATGATGTGCTAAGAATAGATTCCTTTCCTCATCACTCAAATGGTTTTAAAACCAAACACCACTGATTTTAATGCATAAAGACCTAATATCCACACACACATTAGTTTAAGCTTTATAGCAATGTACAACAATACTATTAGAAGTATCCTCATAAGTGTATCTTGATGATTAGGAGTAACTTAAGCAGAGAGAGACATTTCTATATAGAATACTTCTAAAATCATTTAGCAGTGTGATAATCTACTTTATGACCTTAAATCTCTTTTCAAAGTGAAGGGAGAATGTGTGTGACAGTGTCTATGTGGGCAAGTGCATGTGTGCACACTGTTGCCAGCTGATGACTTCTAACCTTAAGCAGGAATACCTGCTAACCTTAGACCTATTTGATCTTTAAAAACAGTAACAAACAAAACATTTTCACGATTACTTAGAAGCACTTATGCATAGCAGACTTTGTTCTAAATACTTCTTTATATTAACTCATTTACTGTTCAAAATAATCTCTACAATAGGTCCTTATATCTGTTGCAGAGACTGCTTTGCAATGGGAAAGAGGATATTTGAAACCCAGGCAGTCCTGCCCCAGAGCAGAAGCCGAGCCCTTGACCACTACGCTGACAATCTGGTGTCAGCACACTTACCCAGAGCATGTTTGAAGCTCCCAGATACAAATGCGTTGTGTCCATTCAGAACGCACAGCGCATGATTATCCGGGTTTTTCAGCATCAGACGGAGGCAGAAGCGATGATGTCTTACATCTTGGGAGTGCATGGTAACTTGATTGAAAATATTCCACAGCTGGGGCTTATTGACATTTTCCATTACCATTACCCTAAAACAGCAGAAGCATGTGAGAGAGACAGTGTAGAAATCGGGAAGTTTAAGAATGAAACTCTTGCCGGGCGGTGGTGGCGCATGCCTTTAATCCCAGCACTCGGGAGGCAGAGCCAGGCGGATCTCTGTGAGTTCGAGGCCAGCCTAGGCTACCAAGTGAGCTCCAGGAAAAGGCGCAAAGCTACACAGAGAAACCCTGTCTCCAAAAAAAAAAAAAGAATGAAACTCTTTAGTGCTATCCCCAACAAGGAAAAGCAAAACCTCTTCTATAATCAAAGTTTTGTTTTTTTTTCCCCTAGAAAATGCTTCTTAAGTTAGTAATTCTTTATCTTGTTCTTGATTTAAAAAAAAAAAAACATACCTCTTAATCTAAACCATTTAATGGCTTGGTTTACCTGCCTTCCAGCTTAGTGTAGCTACAGGACCAGAAGCCATGACTAATACAGTGTGCCTGGCACTGTTTCAAGGCTTTAGACGTGATAAACCATTTAACCCTAATGATAAAAGTACGATGCCTTTTACAAATGGGACACCGAGGAAGGAGAGGGTGATAACTGGCCTGATGTCACCTTACCAGGAAGTGTCAGGGGACCTGAACCTGAGGAATCCAGCTCCAGAGTTCACCCCATGAAAGACCACCGAAGACTCACCTGTGAACTGAGCCAGTAAGCCACAGGAGCGTCAAGAACAAAACAGCTTGCTAATTCTGACTGTGAGGGCCTATGTCACGTAAGTACACATGTGCTATCGGAAAACACAGTTAAATACGATTGGAGGGGCTGGGGACAGGCTCAGTGGTTAAGAGCACATCTGCTTCTGCAGAGGATCAAGTTCCCAGCACCCACGTGGTGGCCCACAGGACGTGTAAGTCCAGTTCCAGGGGATCCTGCACAGTGGCACATATACATACACTCAGGCACACACACATACACATGAGTATTTCTGAAACATGATTTATGACTAGAAAGTTACCGGATATAGTCATATGCCTTTCTGAAATTTTTGTCCAGAATTGCGGCAGATAAACCGAAGTATTCTAGTTCTTTGCGTTTTTGTCTGTCGTCATAGAATGAATAATATTCCAGTGAAGAATCTACAAGCAACTCAGCTTCCTGGAATCGGGATAAGTCACTCAAGGTGTATATGGCCTTCAAGAGAAGGTTCCACCAGTCATCTTTTGGCAAGACACTTGTGAGTACAGCAAATATGGCTAAAATGAGACAAATGAAAACCAACAGGACACCGTTAGTTCCAGAAACAGCAGTACTGGAAAAGATGCACATGGTGAGTGTACAGATAGCCTTCAGAGCCTGGGTCCTACGTCCTAACCCATGCAGAAGCTGACAGAGATGAGGACAAGGAGCTGCTTGTATGGACGCCAACAACCCAGCAGTCCAGTTAACTCCACTCTTGACTAATCCCTGCACAGCCAATGATCCCACGTGCCTCTGTCGGTCTCAGCTCAGATACACGCTGCTCTAGCGGGGAACAGGCGTCTTCTCCATGGATGACCACATAGACTTCTGCATGCACACAGCCTTCTAATGTTTGCAAAATGACTGTCACACTGTACAGATTTGGGTTTTCTTGGTCTTTTTCTAATCTCAATTTTCTCTGCCTTTAACTTCCTTTTCATTTGTCCATGAGAAGTCTCCTTTAAAAAATTACATTTAAAAAATAGCAAGCCAGACATGGTAGAGCACACCTGTAAATCTCAGTACTCAGGATAATGAAGCGGGAGCATACCAAGAGCTGAAGGCCAGCCTGGGCTACATAAGCAAGTTCAAGACAAGCCAAAGCAATTTCGAGGAGGAGGGAGGGCATGCGGGAAGGTACAGAGGGGAGGGTAGACGAGGAGAGGAGGGGACAGAAGACTTGGGCTGATGACTGCAGTGCTTGCCTAGCCTGTGTAGGTCCCTCAGTTCATCCCCCACAGAACAATGCGGGGAGGGAGGGAGGGAGGCCAACAGATCTGCACTGTCTGAGCCACCACGTAACTCCTGGGAGTCTACCTTACACACCAAACCGTGATAAATCTGTAGATGAAGATGCTTACTCTACATCTCCATTCCTACACCACAATAGAAAGAAATGACCTAATAAATTATACAATTGCTATCCAGTGGACTATTGTACATTCTCCGAATAGAGCAACACAAGAAAAGTCTATGGAAAACCAGAGTACTGAGTTGATGTAGGATAGAGAGGTTCCTTCAGGTGGAACACCTGCTTAGCATGTGCAAGACCCTGCGATTGACCCCAACCCTACAAAGTTGCATCTACCATAAAGAAGCTTAGCTCACACATCCAATCCGATGTCATCTCCACTAAGATGAAGATAGTAACCTTACCAAACTAAGAACAACCAACAGACCGGAAACGAGGAAGGACAAAGGTAGGTTTTACATGGAGAAAAATACTTTAGGGAAACATGTCCAAACTACATGCCCTAGAGAAGTTTCTGGAATACACCCAGAATCCACGAACTGAAGAGACAGCAGGGTTCAGAAGCATCTATAGTCTAGATCATAGGCAGCTGAGTGCTCTTGACTCAGGATAGGCCCTGGAGTCCGAGGCAGACTAACAGTTTAATCAATGCTGTGTTAGCTAACAATGATGGAGTATGGCCAGACTGACATCTCCAGTCGTGTCCTATTTCTAAAGGTCTTTCTCTGAGTAACCACCTCCCTCAAACATCCGCAGTGCTTTTAAAACCCTATGACTTAGACTGGGTCACTGCAATTTTCTTTCAGAGTTTCTATGACTGCCACTTTGTCAAAAAAGAATTGAACGCAACAAAACCAATGTAACTGGCATCTAATCTTCACAAATTTTCTTCTTAAAAGGTCAAAATTGTTTTACTTTATGTTTTTCAGAGAAAGATTCAGTGGCCATTTTCCTCTTAATTTCTGAAAGTATTTACACTTAAGCCTTTTAACATGAATTGAGTTGGTTATACCTGGCAGGTTTAGATTATAATTTTCATTTCATTTAGATTATTGTCAGGTATTACTTCATCAGTCCTTTTCAATTCAGCCAAGTTTTTACATAAAGCAATTACCTTTTGCATCATAATTGGATGTTTCTTGCTCATTGTTGTCTGATATTTTATCTCTTGAGACTTTAATAAGGTAGAGATGCCTTTCTCCAGATTTGGAACTGGATATCAAACAAACTTGGGCTCTATTCATCGCAACCTGAATAAAAGATGATGAGATGCTTCTTAGCCAATAATTTATACAGTAAGACTGATGACCTGAGTACCACAAACCAGACTGAAAGTTCTCCAGCAAATTACTCTATCTTTTAAATGCCTAAACATAGAATGAATTGATTTTTCTTAGCATGTCTGTAGTGACTGAAATTCCTTTGATATCAGGGGAACATTGTCAATTCACTATGACATGCAGGGCAGGAGAGGGTGAGTGAATGCAGGCCACTTCCCTGCAAAAACAGACTCAGAATGGATGCACAAAAATGCACAAAAGTTTTGTAAAATGAACCAGTTCAGTACATACTAAATACAGTCTACAGGGCTGATAACTAGTAATTCTAGAGTTTTCATTTTACAAAGTAAGTAGATTTAAAGATTTCATTTCACTGTTTCTCCAGTCAAGCTTATATTACTAGCTAGAACTTCCAATCTTAGCTGGACTATAGTTCAGTGGCCGAGTACTTGCCTAGCATGTGCATGGCCCTGGAGTCAATCTCCAGTCATATAATATCACTAATTTCTAAGTCTTCTGGACTCATCTGCCCTTCACTTTAGAATGTCTAAAACAGAACAATTACAAAGCTATCATCCTGTTTAAATCAAAATTTAAACATCTGAAAACCAGGCCGGACTACTAGAGAGCACAGTCCCTACCCACCTTTAAAAGCATGGCGAGCATGGTCAGCAAGGTGTCCAGGTAGCCGTACATCTTGCCTTGTGAGAACAGCAGAGTGGAGCGGTGAAGCAGCAGCTTCAGTTCCTATGGAACAGCACATGACAGCGAGTGATAGACGTCTTTGCTGAAAATGGCTTGATTTGCAGAAATACGGTTTCTTTAGAACCCAGACTCTACGAACATTTGCTTTATGACACAATAATCAAAATCTAATACCTCAGAAGCTATAATTTATATCTAATAAAAAATGAGACTCATTTTTCAAACCACTTAACTTAGAGGCTAGGGAGATACGCATGAAGACCTGAGTTCAGACCCCAGAACTTCACGGATAAAAAGCCATGCAAGTGGGCTCACCACAGCACTGGGGGCGCAGAGAAAGGGGGGGGTCCCTGAAGCTCCCTGGCCAGCCAAATCAATGAGCGACTGTCTCAATAAATAGATGAATAAATCAGTGTATGTGGAGAGAAATCTAGGAAAGATACCCCATGTCTGCTGCTGACCTCCAAACATGCACACACAACACACATGTCATCTGTCTCTGACCTCCACTCATGCTACTAGTACATAAGAACACACACGTCAAAACAAATTCCACTAAATTAACACACTGAACACAAACTCTGGCAGTAACTGTAAAAACAGGCAAATGATCTACAGCTGAGGAGGAAGTATCCCGAGAAGCACCCCTGTGAGGCGGCCTACCTGCTGTGCGGCATTGGCATCCTGGGCTAAAGTATCTGGGTCATACATGGGCTCCAGAGCTTCCAGAGCTTTCTCAGGACGGCCTAGCTGCTGCTGCAGAATAGAAAGTGAGATCCTTGCATCGAGATGGAGTGGGGCCAGGTCAACCACCTTACTGTAGCTTTCAGCGGCGCGTTCCATGTAGCCCAAGGCCTTTAAACATTCTAGGGTGTGAAGAGAAAAGATGTTCAATTCTTGAGCTGTAAACTGGACAAAACTGTTTCTTTCAAATTTAATTAGTAACATACATTTTTTTAGACAGAGTCTGACTATGTAGTGGAGGCTGCTCTCAAATCCTCAACCCTCTTGCACCAGCTTCCTGAGCCTGGGGTTACCCATTTACACTTCCCCAGCTGGCAGGATTTGACATTTTAAAGAACAGTTGTTAGAGCAACAATGGAATGGATATGTGTTGTTAGCACTTTTTTCTTCTTTTTTAAAATGTATTCTTTTCTCGAACAATACACCCCAACTACACCCTCCACTCCTCCTCTGTTAACTGATCAATCTACTGATCCTATCCCTGGTGCTTCTAGAGATCACAGCCAAGCCTTATGCACACCAGGCAAGCACTCTACGCGATGAGCTGGATCCCAGCCCTGCCCATCAGAATTAAACAGCCACAAGGATGCAGTCAGAGTCTGTACTCAATTTGCTGTCTCTACTCACTTATGCTATGAATTAAGCATTCCCCAGGCCTTCACTGGGATTTTGAATGTTATATAATAACCAATCATAATTACTTAATAATTATTTAACCGTACAGGATAAACCGTACAGGATTTAACGATACAGGATTTGTTTAAAAAAAAAACCACTCTGGTCACACCACAGGAAACATCTTAAAGACCCAACTTAATCCAAAGACATGTTTATATGGCATTAACTGTCTACATATTTTGAAATCAGCATTTTATAAAATCCAGGTACTGGCTTCTTCTAATTGGCAACAGCAAGCTAGCTCCCTCCTCTCACATGGCATCACAAACCCACGGAGATGCGACTCTCCAGTTCTCATCTCTCCCTACTCCCACATATCCGCTTCACTCACATTGTTACTGGGCTCCCCAGTTTTGTAAACCCCCAATATCAACTCTCTCCCATTATCCCACTCCTCAAAACGAGTCCTCAGAAGTTAAATCGTTTGAACTTGGAGGTGCGTCCTGATATGTATTTCCTCTTTCCACTCTGGCAGCTCCAACACCAGCTGGATCTTCTCCCATGCCCTTTCCACTGTAACCTAAATATCTCGCCTCAAAGTGCTTCCTCAAAAGTCTCCTGGCCACTACGTTAGGCTAAATCTTGAAAACAAATTAGAATAGTAATATGAATGGATCATCGTAATGGCATCTCATATTTATTTCATGTAATGCCACAGCTATTAAATTCCTTTGATGGTCCTTCTTGATTTTTAAGATGACTCTGAAGTTTCAATTTCCACTACAATTCAATTGACTAATACAATTCACTAATTTCAAGCTACATGGATTCAAAATGGAAGCAGCAATGATCCGAATCTGAATCATAAAGGATTTCTAAGTGTCTACTAATAAAGACAAAGGAGCAATCTCAGTACCATGGCCTTCGGAGGGTAATGCACACCCATACTCTGGGCAACCCTGGCTCTGTTCTTTACAAATCCTATAAAGGTATTACAATTATATTCATGTTTACTCTTTGAAACAGAAAAATGTTCTCTTAATAATGAGTTTTCCTAGGTCCTGCCTGTGATGTGAGCTACGGTCCCAACGTGTCAAGTAGTTCTTCTCTGGCTATAGAGGACTTTCTTCTCTCAAATAATTTAAAAAACTTTCTAACATATATTAAATGAAAACTGTTCAGTTAATGTCTTTTTGTTTTTCTTTTGGGGGTCTTGTTTGTTTGAGACAGGGTCTCACTATGTAGTCCTGGCTGGCCTAGAGCTCAACAGAAATCTGCCTGCCTTTGCTTCCCAGGTGTGCACCACCAGGCCCAGCCTTAAAGATCTCTTTTCTCTATGACAACCTGTCAGACTATCTTTTGTTTTCATATGTCTGAGAGATCTATCTCTTTTCTCTGACAACCTATCAGACTATCTTTTGTTTTCATATGTCTGAGAGATCTATTTCTTTTCTCTATGACAACCTGTCAGACTGTCTTTTGTTTTCATATGTCTGAGAGATCTATCTCTTTTCTCTCTATGACAACCTGTCAGACTGTCTTTTGTTTTCATATGTCTGAGAGATCTATCTCTTTTCTCTATGACAACCTGTCAGACTGTCTTTTGTTTTCATATGTCTGAGAGATCTATCTCTTTTCTCTATGACAACCTGTCAGACTGTCTTTTGTTTTCATATGTCTGAGAGATCTATCTCTTTTCTCTATGACAACCTGTCAGACTGTCTTTTGTTTTCATATGTCTGAGAGATCTATCTCTTTTCTCTATGACAACCTGTCAGACTGTCTTTTGTTTTCATATGTCTGAGAGATCTATCTCTTTTCCTCTATGACAACCTGTCAGACTGTCTTTTGTTTTCATATGTCTGAGAGATCTGGTCGCTTTCTGAGCTATTTTCTCTACTCTGAATGATTTCTTTTCAGACTACCATGGACTTAATCACAATAAAACAAAAAGATTAACAGGTTAATCTTGAGCATCTGTGGCTCAAATAGCACAGAAAAGCACATTAACTATTTTCTCTCAAAACAACATTAAACATACATTAATAAAAACTCTTTAAAAATAATTTTGCCCATCTGATAATACAGTTCTATAATGTATGTTACGACAAGTCAAAGAGGGTATTTAAAGGGCATGTCAGCTTTTCTGTTATCACCCTAGTGATGTGCAGCAAAGTCCACATCGAGTAAACTCACTGTCCTCTAGAGAGAACACTGTGGCTTGGACCTCAAGTATCTTAATGCCACTTACGTGAGGAGTAGAACCTAATATCTCATAAGGAATGGGCTCCAGGATGTTGACACTTAGTAATCTAGCAAGACTCCTGCAATCCTAATCTTCCAGCTACACGAAGACGTAAATACTTGCACCAAGTCTACTGTGTTATAATGACTGCCGTGCTGGGAATGTAAAGGCCTGCCTGATTGTATGATTAAAACTGTTTCCTCCCACAGCAGAGCGTTACCTGCATGCCGGAGCCAAACCACTGCCAGGTTGTACCTCTCAGAGCAAACCAGCGCGCTGAGCAGGGGAAGCGCAGAATTATATTCACCAACATCCAGGAAAGCTTCAGCAACATCAAGGTAGAGGTCGCCCATATCTTCAGGATTCTGTTCCACCAGCGTTGTCAAGAGAGGCTAAACCCAAATAAAACCCGAGGTCAAACATTCATCACAAATAGCCACATCTCTGTACCAGCTGTACTACATAAGCCAAAAAGCAAAGAGGACTAACAAAAACAGCTTAGTGGTCATTTTTCTGCTTGTTTCTGTATGTCTATTAAAAAGATTCAGACTTTCATCATTTCTTTACTCATTCATTCCTTCATCGACGTGTGCAGCAGCTAGGAAGTAAGCCCACTGGGAGTGCTTTCTCTATCCAGCCAAACAAGCCTGTGCCTTTGGCTCCATGTGTTTGCTGATGCCTGAAAGGCTACTCTGTCAGTGTTAACTCAAACATCACCTTCTCAGGGGACCCCTCTACTAAAAACGTACAGCTTTCTCCCATTCCTACATTCTGTATATTGCTTGTTTTTCTTTAAAACACTTTTCACCAACCGATAACTTACAGATTTAATCCCTTAGAACAAAAGATCCATCACTGAAGAGAAGGTTTGATCAACAAAGCAGATGCCCAGTACATTTTTTATTCAATAAAATACTTGTTCCCAAGTCAGAAAAAGAGAGGAGATATAGCAACTATATAGACTGCCTAAAGGCTAATCACAGCTTCTGATCTTTGGATTGTTCTCACTTTAAAAGAAAATTATTCCAAGCCCAATTCCAAAACACTTTGCTTTTATGAGCCATTCCTATGAAAGTAATGTGATGTTTACTATGTCCTTCCCCATTGTAAGAAATGTAACAATCTAAGGTCAAGTTATAATGTCTGGTCATCTGCAGAAAGTGGACTCAACGGGAAGGATCCTACTGCTCAGGCAGGCGCAGTTCCCGGTGCTACTTACATTGAGTGGCTCGAGGATGTTGAGATGCACCAGGCACACCATCAGCTTCACCGTGATGTCTATGGGCACACTGTCAGGTATAGAGCAGGTGACAGTCTCCGCAGCTGGGGAACATCAGAAAGGTGTTCCTATGTGCAAGCTCAGGACGTAAAGTAACCTAAGGCAACTCCAGCCTGCACCCAAGAGCCGATTTCCAACAGCTCTAGGGGAAGATCCTAGTCCATGCTGTTCTCGTCAACTCTGTTAGCAGCTTCTGACCTCCTTCAGTCTGTCTTTTGTTTGTACTTAGCGTGCCTTTTTCCTAACATCAACTATTCTCAAACACAAATTCCCATACCTTTTACCAGACGACAGAGGATTAAAAAATCAAAAAGGACCAGGATATATGAAACCTCTCTTTTTAAATTCTTGAATTCAAAAGCTTCTCTTAAGACTTTACTTGAGAGATTTATAAAAGGGGCTAAATACTTTTCTGCTTTCTAAAACTTCATTATAGCAAAACAACTTTTAAAATTCTGGGAAATTAAAGGAATTCTATATTTCATATTTTGCACATTAAATTACAATTCAGTTCGTTTCCATTTCATAAACTGTAAATGATATTAGTGCTGTGCCTTTGGTAGTAGACTCAAATTTAAGTTAATTACAAATTAAGTAATCTCATCCGTTTTACAGAATTTGCCATTAATTGTCTGAGCTACCCAATCATAGGAAGATGGTTTCATTGAGACTGTTTTAACAATGAACACCATGATAGTAACTGATAACACAAATTTAACTTTGATATTTATTCTACACAATTTTCCTACCATAACATTTTGCTCACTCAAGACCTAAGCTCCCTAAGGACATATGTCAAGTCTACTTGACTAAAGGCAGTACCTACAGCATACTTCTTCTGAAGACTGTATCTGTGGTCACCCACCTATAAAAGTACTAACCAATACAGTCACCGTTTGAGCATTGTGACTTCTAAAATAGGATTCTTCTTAGATCTAGGTTCTATATCCCAAATACTAGCATTTTGGTTTATTGTTTAACATGATCTGAATGTTTATATCCCCAACATGTGGTATAGTATATGATGGCATTAAGGGGTAAGATCTCTGGAAGGTAAGGTCACAAGAGCTCTGCCCTCAGGATGAGGATTCATGTCTTTTTTATAAAGAGGTCTAAAGGAGTTGTGTGTGTCTGTCTCCCACATGAGGACACACAGATGGTACCGTATCAAACCTCTGCTGCCTTGGTCTTCGACTTCCAAGCCTCTAGAAATTTCTGTCTGTAGATCAATCACCAAGTCTAAAGTGTCTTGATATAGCAGCCCAAATAACTATTTAATGAAATACCCAGGAAGCTATCTGAAGCAAACAGTACTTGGCATGAACTCACTTCCCATAACTCCCACCAAAATCCTCTCAAGGATGAAAAAAACTACACAGGGACACTCTCACAGGAGTAAGGACGCACACTAAGACCCCAAATGACTAGTGTGTTCCACCTCAGAGTCTAAGTCATACATGTTAACATTTTCTTAGACTAGGTCAATGGGTGTGGTGCAAAGATCAGGCAGGAGCTAGAAGAGACGCAAAGGCACATTTCAGGTACAGCTGTCTACTCAGATCTGCGATTATACATCTGAGTCCTTCATGCACAGGCTCTGGTTTTGACCCTAGCATTGCCAACAGAAAGAAGATTACATAAAAGCCAATATAAGAAGGCAGACTCCTGCTGTGGCCATGACGAGAACATTACGTCTAACAAGAGGGTTCTGCATGCGTCCCTACGTGAAGTTATCTACAACCTTTATTCTCTTCTGAGGTGCCTTCTTCCACAGTTTCCTTCTCTAGGACAATTCCAGAAAAATCTGTAATTACCTAAAAAAAAAGAGAAATAAAAGCTATATATAAAAACCTTTTTGTGAGTATTTCTAACAGTCCTTACAATATAAAATGGTATTAAAAAAGAATCTTTTTGAAATAAGATTCATCAGTTGGACTGCAAACCAACAACCTCCTTTTTCCAACGATATGCCTCTGGTGAGTCGTGCTACCTTCGAGTGTAGATACACCTGGGCTTTATAGTGGCAATATCATTTATCATATAATTACAGTTTGTATTTCACACAGAACCTAGAAATCTATTATTTCTACATAGTTTAAATATGCAATTTAGAATATAATCAAAATGACAAGATGCTAATTTCTAAGCATTTCTGCAACATAAGCACAGGTCTAATCCTAAAGGAGCCGCACGTGAGCATCCTACCTCCAAAGCTTTGTCATACTGCTTGTTGGAGATATATAATTCAGCTGCGATGTTAACATCCTCCATGGAGACTAAGCCTTGGTGTTTGGAGAAGGCTTCCTCGATTATGTTTATAGCTGAAGTACTGTCATTGGCTTCGTAGTAACTCCTAAAAAAGGTGAGTGGCAAGTGAATGAACAGTTGATTCTGACTCTAAAACTCAACGTCTTGCTTAGGCCCTCTAACAATAAAGTGATTTCAGTTTCTTGGGAGGAGGAAGCCTTTGAATTACAGTAGCACCTCCCTCTCAGAGCAGCACTAAGAGGGTAGAAGGGTCAATGCCTACAAACGGTGACACAAGACGGCCTAGTGGCAGAGGAATGTGGCCTAGCATGTGAAAGGCCCTGGTTCAAACCCCAGCATCACAAAGAAATCAAAGGTGGCAAAAACAGACCCAAGGGCTGAAGAGATTCACCAGAATGTCAAGTATTTGCTATGTCAGCATGAGGTTCCAAGTTCAAGTCCCAGGACCCAAGCAAAAAGCCAAGCATGGTGACGTGTGCTAGGAGACAGACACAAGCAAATCCCTGGGGCTCAGGGGCAGTCAGCCTAACATAGGTGGTGAATCTCAGGTTCCAGCTGAGACCCTGTCTCAAAAAAAAAGATAGATGGGTCCTGAGAAATACCACCAAAGGCTGGCCTCCACACGCACAGGCACACACACACACATGTGCAACTGAACAAGAACACACACAAGGCACAGTCCATTTCCTAACAGAAACTGCTATGAAGGGAAAGCACATACTATATTCCATATAAGAAATACCGGAGCTTGGAGGGCATAGGTCAGGAGTACTCTGCTTGCCTAACATGCAGAAAACCCCGAGGTCAATCCCCAGCACTGTGGGTCAGGTGGACAGTAGTCAAAAAGATTCACGGCACTTCAATGGTCCTATTTGAAGTGAATATGGGTCTGTAGAGAATCCACAGTAATGAATGAAGGTCTTCAAAGCAGAACCTGACTACCTATTCCTGGCGCAGATCTTACTGTCAAAGGTGACAGGACATGGTAAGCTCCGCTGACGCCAGGACTATCACTGCTCATTTGTTTCACAGTTGTCCGTTGGTTTTCCTAAGAGTCCAACAGTGAAGTATGGAAGAGCTCTTCCATACAGCACCAGCAGGTCTACCCAAAGGAGAAGATACTGGGAATCATACACCGAGAAGGATAGGATCAAATGACATGAAAGGAAAGATCAGCAGACCGAGTCCAGGTAACGTTACAAAAGACATCATCTCCCTCAGGAGTCCTTGTTAGAAAAGTGAAAATGCTTTAAAAGCTCAATTTGAAATGGGAACGCTCAGGAGGATTCCCTCGGAAGTTAATTGTGGACAAGGTGTACTCTTGTTAAATAAGCTGATTGGAACTGGCCCAAAACCCTGGATTTTTGTTGTTGATTTTGTTTTTATTTAGTGCCTAGATCAAACCCAGGCTCTTGTACATTCTAGGCAAGCATAGTACCATTGAGATAATTCCCTACTCCAAGAATCTGCATAATTTTAGTTTTTTTAAATAGTGAAAAAATGTTATACTTGTAAAATATATAGTCATGATCAGAGCTGATGCCGAGAAAAACATACAATTTCACGATATATTGACAATGTTGTAATTTCAAAAGCTACTTCCAACTCATTCCCAACATAAAAAATTGGCACCAACTCTTCCGGGATGCATTCCTCCTCCCCAGCAATAGTCGCACTTAGATCATTTTGGTTTTCCCATGTTTCCAGGGTAGACTAGACTGGCTGATCCAGCCTGAGCACTTCCTTGATTTGGTGTTAATTACTAAAACTACTCCATTTGTGAATGACACGCAATTTTACTCTCTAGCTTTGTGTCATTTTACTTTTGCTTAGGAAGTTTTATAAATTTACGGTAACATTCATTTTCTCATTCTTTTTGTTAACTTCAATTATAAAAAAGTATGTATTGCTCTGAATTCTAAAACGTACACACACTATACTTCTACATTTTCAAACTTGTCAGTGATAGGCTGGTACCAAGCGCTATAAAGAGAGAGGTTGGTGTCAGGGCAGGAAAAGGTCTCTACAGTCAATACGACGACAGTGCCCACTGCCACCTCACCTATATTATAAGCCACTGCTTTAAAACAGCCTAGCAGTGATAGGAGGCATAGCAAATGTGAGGAGAGCCTGCACGACTTTCTAGTTACTTAAAGTATAGTAATACTAATTTTTAAATTCAGAAATACACACTCACAGCAACTAGGATATGATTTACCCAGTTTTGTTAAAAGGGCATTTGTGAAAAAGGAGTTAGCCCCAAAACACAAGTATGTTCTTTCAGCAGGCTGTGTAGTGAACACCAGAAAGTATATTAGCACAGATACAGCCCTCCATCAAATGACCCCAACACCCTGACCCTGCCACTCCAGTAAAGAGAAGTGAATCTCTCCATGACAACCTGAGTCATCTCCAGTTTCTTCATCTCTAGGTCTCCTTCTTAGCTCCTTTGACAATGACATCATTGCTACAAGAAAAAATCCGTCTAAGAACTATGAATGTCACCAATGCTGAGTTCTCATTCTTTGCACGAGAAAAGTCTAACACACGGCAGGCCAGTCTTCCACACTTACTGATTTTAAAAGGCCTGGAAACCACATTATCCAGTATTCACAATCTTACAAACAAGGGAAACCAACTCAACCCAGCATCATAAAATGGTTTAGGTCCCATCCTCTTTGCCTTCTGTATTCAACCGGGTGCATGTGCAATAGGGCAAGTGTCCTCCAGGACATTTTTAGGGAGACTCCCCTATCTACCATCTTAGCCTTATGCATAACTGGGTGTGTACAGGATTAAAATCAGATGCATTATGGGAAGGGACATGTGCAGTAAAGTGAATATGGTGAATATGTCACCTAATCTATCAGTCACAATAGAGAACTGTCCAACTATGGCCTTTAACAACTAAAACAATCAAACTCCTCCTGAACCCCAGAGGGAAACCTGGGCACTTGAATACGAGTCTCCCACTCAGGTGGCCTGCAGTTTCCTTCTGATCTGTAGGTTTTCTTTTTGGGGTTTTGTTTTCTTTTCTTATGAAAAAGTTCCCCTGCTACTGTGTGGACTCTTACTTTCAATTCTCTGGATTAGAGACTAAGAAGCGAGAAGCGCCTGACCTAGGCGCCCACTGTGCTAACACTACCTCTCCGCCAAAGATCTCCAGGCAGCTAACCTCAGTTCCTGCTCCATGGGACCTGTCTGCCAAGCTTCCCACGGACAACCACCCCGCCTCACTGGAGTGCTTTCTTCAGTGAATCTAGAATGCCACGTTCTTTGCTTCTTCCCCGCACAGGGCATTTTCTTTTCATCTGCTGGCTGCCTCCTCTTTTCCCTGGTGTCTAAACGCTGGAGTGACTCGGCAGTCAGTCCTTCCTCAGCTTTCTTCTTTCCCACCTTCTCTTCCATCCCTCCCGTACACACGAGCCCACGCTCACACAGCCCACATCTACCACACACTCCTTAGCCCGCTCTTAAGTTACATCAAGAATCTGGTCACCTCCTACTGCCTTCTGCTGTCTCTGCCCTGATCAAGCTCTGACTTTCCCTCCCAAGTATCATTTCAGTAATTTCCTGTCTCTGCCCTGATCAAGCTATGATTTTCCTCCCAAGTATCATTTCAGTAATTGTCTGTCTGTCCCTTCCCACTCTTCAATTTTTGCTCAAAAGAGCAACCAAAATTGATGCACTTAAAAGTTAAGTCAAATCATGTCCCTTTCTCCTCAGACCCTTCAGTGCCTTGCAGACTCCTTTAGAGAAAAAGCCCCCACGGGCCGGCTGCTCTGCTCCTCTGGGACCTCTTGCTGTGCTCACCTGACAGCTCAGCGTCCCTCTTGTTCCCCGCACATCCCTGTGTCCTCTCTCCTAAGCGCCAGCTCCCTTCAGTGAGGACCACAGAAGGCGGGGAGCCGAGTCCTTCACTCACCCTGCTTGAAAATAACACACTCCATACCTGGTACTTCTATGGCCTTCCCTGTTTAATTTTCCTCCATCACTGATCAATGTGATACACTGAGTAACTGGCTGTTAGCTGATCTCTGCCTATCTCCCCTCACAGGGCTACGGACTCCAGGAGGGCAGAGAACTTTTAATAGTTGCTTGATAGTGGTCATCCTGGCTCCTTGTACCATGCCTATGGAAGATATAGTCAATGAGTATTTCTGGAGGGCAAATAAGGACCAAAGCAAAGCCGAATCAATCAACTGGCCATTGCCACTCTCCACATATAACACACATGAAAACCAAGCTGATCATCATGAGCCACCTAATGCTTCCCAGGTCCATTAGACTAAGCACTCTAGCAGCTGCAAAATGAACTGCGGCTAATCTGGCAAGACCCTCTGTGCTCACGACATAGCATCAGCCATCAATCTAAAGTTGCTTCCCTGACTGAACTTGTAAAAACGTATCTACTGCTCCTATATAACTGTCCTGAGAGGGTGATGGGCAGTTCACAGCAAAACAGCATCAGAACGCAAGGCAAAGGACTAACAGGTTAACCCTAATAATGCCAAAATGGAGACAGTTAAGCCCAGGATGAAATGCTGCACTGTGCTCTTCAAACAGAAAGAACAGCAGGAAACACCACTTCGCCAAATGCTTCCTGCTCTGCTCTGCTTCCTAACACAGCAGGACAAGTAAATGCTGTAGGGTTTCTAAAGAGCGAGCCTGCGCCTGCGTCAGTGGCAGGGCAACGTGAAACCTACTATTCCAGTGCTGACTCAAGATGACTACAGAAGATTGCAGAACACAAAGATTTCACTGACACATCTGCAATAAAAAAAAATCTTATTTAAAAAGTCACAAATAAATACAACTTCAACTAAGTCGCAGAAACCTGGAGTCTAACCCCCTTGCAGAACACACCTCTCTTTTCAGCTTCTGAGCCCTAGAAATGCAATCTCACATCCAAAATTTTCTAAGCAATCACACAGTTGACTTGGAAACCAAAAATCACTAAATAAAAAAAATGCTATAATTGGTCAAATATAAAATACAGAAAACAAAAATTTTCTTTGAACTTCAATGCAAAAATACATTCTATTTCACATAGCTTTGATTTGCAAAATGACTAATAAAGGCATGCGTGTGTGTGTGTGTGTGTGTGTGTTTCACTTCAAACTTACTTTGCCATATCTCTAGCCAACTGCATAAAACGTTCTCCATCAGATGGAGACAAAAGATTTAAAATACGCCTATAACCATCCATGGCCATTTTATGATCACCCATCTGTTCATAAAGGCTTGATCTCTCCCACAGGTAACGAACATTAGTAGGTTCATATTTAAGAGCTAGAAAGAAAAGAAGAATAAAAAATTACATATTTATCAAAAGAGGTGTGACTTACCTCAAAAATGTAGTAAACACTTTCCCATTGGAAACAAGAAAATAGTTCTGGAATAAATCTATCTTCACAAGAGCTCTTGACTGGGCCTGATCTAAGACCAGACTGGACCCCCTACAGTAATCCTCATTTGGGGACTCAAGTCACAAAAGTTAACAGCCTGAAAGCAACATTGAGTTCAGTGGGGACTCTACAATTTTGTGCTATATTCAACACAGTATAAAGTAAGTCACAGATAAACATGAGGACAGAGGGTTCCAGATACATGCCGTGACAGACTACAAGGAACACACACATCTGGGCAAGGAGCACAACCCAATAATGCAAGAAACAACTATTATGTAACTAATAGTTCTGGCAACACAACCTGTCTACCTCAGCTTCGGGGAAATCACAGAAGATGAGGTGGAAAGACTGCAGAGCCCGAGGCCCAGGGTAACTGCTGTGAGATAGTATCCCCTAGACACGACGTGGAGAATGCACCGAGGTTCCTGAACAAGACCAGCATAATGACAACACTAGCTGATATTCCAACATGGAGAAGGAAAATTCCACATGGCTCCCCCACCTAGAAGATCTACAGGTGACCAATGGATACCGAGAGAATCTGTCTCCTCCAGGAGGAGGGAGCTATTTTCCTATCCTAAGTGGTTAGTCCTGGACACAAATGCATATAAGGGAGGCCAAATGGATTTAGCAGGTTATACATATATCTCTATGTGCGTGCACACACACACACACACACACACACACACACACACACACACACACACACACACACTCTAGTAAACAGGTGAGCGTGAATTTAGAGGGTGACATGAGAGGGACTGGAGGGGACAGGGAAGGCAGGAGTGACCGAGACGCAGTCCTCACATATAAAGTTCTCAAAACAATTCAATTAAAAAAAGAGAGAGAAACAAATACACTTGAGCTAACAACAAAATACAAAGAACAAATGCATTAATGACCCATCATATAACACCTAATGAAACAAAACAAAAAAATAATCATCCCATCTACACAAGGAAAATGTCATTACCTTTTGTATAGCAAAAAATAGCCTGCTTAATATTATCTTGTTCCAGAGACATTTCTGCCAGCCTAACCCATTCTTCTGTGTCACTGGGATTTAAATGTGCAGCAATCAACTCAAACTGCAATGATTTCTCCATGTCACCTTGGTCCTCGTATATCATGGCAAGCGTAGAGAATGGCTCATAAGCCAAAGGAGCTATAACAATAAAAATATCAAAATAAATTTCATTGGCTAAAGGAATAAGCTAAAGCTGATAGTGATGCTACAGTTCAAACTGCAGATTTTTTTCTAATATCTAAACTCATTCCAATAGAATTATAAAAACTATTCAACAGAACTTTGAAAAATACAAAACACTATATTACACTTTATTTTCAAACACTTTTAGACATTATTATTGATTTACTTTTGAGGTGGACTCTTGCTACCTAGCTCAGGCTGACCTCAACTGACTGTGTAGACCAGGCTGGTCACAAACATGAACTGACTGTGTAGACCAGGCTGGTCATCAACCTGAGATCCCCGACAGCCTGCCCAGTTCTAGAAATTCAAGGCAAGCACCATCATACCCAACACCATTCTTAAAAGCATTATTTCCTTTAACAAAATACAATTTCATGAAAACCCTCCCTTCTAACACATCTTCCTTGTGAAAATCTCTTTATACTAAGGCCAAATATGGCCTAAAAACTTGAGGATTTCACCCAGGAAGCATCAGTCACATCAGTGTGGTCGAACTTGCACTATTTCAAACTCCTGCATCATAGAGGATGAATGCACACAGGGTACCCAAACAGCACCTCAGTCTAGGATGTCAAATGTAACAGTTAATCTATATTTCTAAAATATTATTTATGGGAAAAAAATCTCAAAAACTGCTGCACATTAAGGTCAACGTGCTTTCCAAAACAAACAGTTGTAAGTTGAAATAAATAATATTGGAAAACAAGAACTAAGCAGTAATATATCCTACAGAAAAGCTTGGTTAATCTTACTTCTGATGGACTGAGGAAACACATAGTAGCCACAAGTTACCCTAATGAGGAATCCTGGAAATCATAGTAAGACTTCTAAAAGGACCAAGTCTAACTAAAAGGAAATGCCACAACACTGAATGAATGTATTAGTAGTGTAACAGCTTCCCAAGGCATTCCGCAAGGCAAATTGATAGCAACCAAAAAAGTGATGTGATAGAAGCAACTGGTCACAACCACTACTGAAGATGTCTTCCAACATATCTAAGGTGTACCAACTAATGGAGATAAAATGACAAACCTAAATGTATCTTTACTAAAAGATAGATTAAAATAATTTAGCACTGCCTAATCTAGAAAGTGAAACAAAAATCAATAACAATATCAAAAATTTATCAGAATATTCTTCAAGTGATTCTAACATAATACACTCACCACTAAAATATATATAAAAATAAACAGGGCTGAGGGTATAACTCAGTTGGTAGAGCACTTGCCCATAGTGCATAAAGGTGTGGATTCCACACCACAATAGAGACAGATGGATAAATGGATACATAAACTGGCTGACTTAGAAAGATTAATGCTAGCCAGGCAGTGGTAGCCCATGCCTTTAATCCCAGCACTCAGGAGGCAGAGCCAGGTGGATCTCTGTGAGTTCAAGGCCAGCCTGGTCTACAGAGCGAGATCCAGGACAGGCACCAAAACTACACAGAGAAACCCTGTCTCGGAACCCGCCCCCCCCCCCCCCCCAAAAAAAGGATTAATGGTATAAGAGTCTCAAAACCCTAAAATGAAAAGTTGAAAGGGGAGAGAGGGGTCAGAAAGAGTTCAAAAGATATTACTAATTTTTCACTGAATCACATCCTGTGGTCTCCATTTTCTATTAACTCCTACCAATGTGAAAAGTGGCAGGTTACTATTACAGTGACCTTGATTTCTGAATGCATTTTATATAAATAGCACAATTAAATGCTTCCCCATTTGCTAAAGAAGTCAACCAGTTAGCTATTATCAATTAAAGTCCCTGCAGAAAACACCTTGTCTTATGATTTCCATGCACATCAATATCGCCTCTTCATGTTCTCCTCGAGCAAAGCGAATATTGGCTTCACCCATGAGACCTCTCAGGGCTCTGGGAAGTTTACTCCGAGGCCTCTTCTCCTGTCCAGAGGAAAACAACAAGGAGATTAAGACAGAGTAAAGCTCAGATTTCAATTCCAAACATACATATTAAACTTCTAATTCTTCTAAACTCAGAACTAGGTACTTAGTAATTAGAATTCTGATGCCTTAATTTTACGTCTAATTACACAAAGCAAGCTAAAACTCAAATGCAGGAAAGAACCAAATTCTTTTATGATACTCTCCGAAGAGGAACACCAAAGTGTAGCTAGAGTTTTCCTGCCTGGCCCACAGTCAGGACAAATCTCTATCACCTGCCAGTCCCACAGTCGCTCAGACCCGACCAAGTAAACACAGAGACTTGTATTGGTTTCAAACTGTATGGCCATGGCAGGCTTCTTGCTAACTGTTCTTTCAGCTTAAATTAATCCATTTTTATAAATCTATACCTTGCCACATGGCTCGTGGCTTTCCGGCATCTTCACATGCTGTTTCTCATCGTGGCGGCTGGCAGTGTCTCTCTGACTCAGCCTTCCACTTCCCAGCTTTATTCTCCTCCTTGTCCCGCCTACACTTCCTGCCTAGCCAATGGCCAATCAGTGTTTTAATTATTGACTAATCAGCAACACATTTGCCATACAGAACATCCCACAGCACTTCCCCCTTTTTTTTTTTCCAAAAAGGAAGGTTTTAACCTTAACAAAGTAAAATTACATATAATTTGGGAATTTGGGCGTAGCTTCTCTTACTACTTCCTGCTGGAGGGGGGCGCTGTATCTTATGGGGATACAAAGAAAATTTTAGAATTATAGAATAGTCCATGAGGGTGTATCATCTGAGCCAGTTGCCTTCAAACCATTCTGGATGTTGGATCATCTGGGCCATGGTGTCATCGGAGACCTTTCAGGGGGTCTTGGCTGGTCAAACCTGATGTATCTTAATCTTGAACAAATCCATAGCCTCTGGCTTTCTGTGGGAACAAAAGCAGAGTCTCCTTTCCAAAGTAACATATCCTTATATTCAAATTTTGAAGTCAAGATACCTTTAAAATATACATTTTGGCGTAACTCAACAGCTTTTACAATGAAATGTTTTTCTGCAGTTAAAAGTCCCAAAGACAACACAATGCAGATTCTCTGTGTAATATCCATTTTTACGTGGCTTATTTTTTATACTACCTTTACTGTCTCTTTAAAGACTTTATTTTTTGAAACTATGTATTTATTTCTATAACTCTATATATCATCTTTTTTGTCTCTTTCAAGCCTACGTATCTTTTACACACATTGTAAACTATTACATCTGAATCTGTCTTATTGTGAATCTATTGCCTTAAACTGCAGCAGCTGTGGCTGCTGGATCCACCCACCTCAGCTTCCCAACATGGCTACGTTTACCACCAGCTCTGGGAGCTATCGTGGGTCTATGCTTTTATCCAAGCAGCGTATAGCCCAGAAACCTCTTTGTTTTGTACCTGCAAAGGCTAAATCCACCATGCAGCTTAATGTGCCACTTGCAGAGGACTCATTCCTGCCATACAGCATGTCGAGCATGCACACCAGGAACCCACAAGTAGCTCAAACCAGCAGCTGCTGCTCATTTGAGAGAGACAATTAGGAACTGTTTTTAGCTCCGTTTTAGAATCTTTTTTCTCAGGTTTTAGGTGGAAACTCTTGCCACCCACGTTGGACGCCATTTGTAGCTAGAGTTTTCCTGCCTGGCCCACAGTCAGGACAAATCTCTATCACCTGCCAGTCCCACAGTCGCTCAGACCCGACCAAGTAAACACAGAGACTTGTATTGGTTTCAAACTGTATGGCCATGGCAGGCTTCTTGCTAACTGTTCTTTCAGCTTAAATTAATCCATTTTTATAAATCTATACCTTGCCACATGGCTCGTGGCTTACTGGCATCTTCACATGCTGTTTCTCATCGTGGTGGCTGGCAGTGTCTCTCTGACTCAGCCTTCCACTTCCCAGCTTTATTCTCCTCCTTGTCCCGCCTACACTTCCTGCCTAGCCAATGGCCAATCAGTGTTTTAATTATTGACTAATCAGCAACACATTTGCCATACAGAACATCCCACAGCACCAAAGAAAGTCAAAACAAACAGAAACAAAACAAAACCTTCCTACAGTTGAAAGTTCAACGCACAATTAAATACAAACTGCCCAACGGTCAGGATACTGGACCACTCATCAACATACAGCATCATTACGCAACAAAATGATGCCATTCCATTCCATACCAGACGCTTACCAGAAAGTCCTCCTTCTTGGAAATTTATCAACATAAACTTGATAAATAAACAACAACAAAACCCACTGAGATAGATACACTATGGATTTTTCAGTAGCAGAACTATACAACATTTGACATATGAACAATCAAGGCTTATACAACATTCTCCAAGACAAAGCCAGAAATGAATGATAACTCTCAAGCGCCTCAGAGAAAAGGAAACATCTACACCTGACCCAGGTAGTCAAGACTCTCCAATGACTTCACATCTCTGACGAGATCAAGGAAACATCTACACCTGACCCAGGTAGTCAAAGACTCTCTGATGACTTCACATCTCTGACGAGATTAAGGCAGACACTAGAAGATGGAAAGACCTCCAACTTATGGATTGGCAGAATACTGTAAAATGACCATTCTACCAAAGGAATTTACGGATTCAATGCTACCCCAATCAAAACACCCGAAACGTTCTTCGCAGAAATGGGGAAAAAAAGAACCACAAAAACAAAACCAACCTAAAGCTCATATGGAACCACAAAATACCCCAGCTAGCCAAAGCAGTCCTGAGAAAAGAGCACAATGCTGGAGGGATTAACGTTCCATATTTCAGGGTACAGTAGAGAGTTATAGCAATAAAAACAGTATGGCACTCACACAAGACACCCATGTGGACCAATTAGACAACACAGAAGACCCAAACATGAGTCCACACAGCAACAGCTGTCTGCTGTCTATCAGAGACGCCAAAAACACACACGGGAGAAAAGACAACAGCTTTAACAAAAGGCACTGGGAGAACTGGATGTCCACACATAGAACAAAATGAAGCCCCAATTTACCGCCCTATACAAAAACTCACTCCAAATGGATCAAAGACCTCAATGAAACCTAGTACTGAAACTGCCAGGAGAAAACAGAGACAGCCAAGTGACACAGGTGTCGGGAAGGACTTCCCAAACAGCATCCATTTCCCAAGGAATTAAGGCCACAACTGACAAGTGGGACCTCATAAAACCAAAAGGCCTTTGTACAGGAAATAACCAACCAAGTGAAAAGGAACCGACAGAGTGGGAAAGACTCTGAACTACACATCTGACAGAGGATTAATATCCAGAGCATATCAAGAACTCAAAAACAAACAGTCAAGAAAAAAATGATTCAATTAAAAGAAATGGGTTTGAAATCTGAACGGAGTTCTCGGATGAAATAAAAGTGGCTAAGAAATATTTCAAGAAGTGTTCATCATCCTTATCTGCTAGGGAAATGCAAATAAAAACAATGTTGAGCCGGGCGGTGGTGGCGCACGCCTTTAATCCCAGCACTCGGGAGGCAGAGCCAGGCGGATCTCTGTGAGTTCGAGGCCAGCCTGGTCTACAGAGTGAGATCCAGGAAAGGCGCAAAGCTACACAGAGAAACCCTGTCTCGAAAAACCAAAAAAAAAAAAAAAAAAAAAAAAAAAAAAAACCAATGTTGAGATTTTATCTTACACTAATCAGAATGGCACAGATCAACAAAACAACAGACAACAAATGTCTCAAGGATGGGGAGGATGGAGGGCAGGACCTTTCACTGTTAGTGGGATGCAAACTGGTCTAGCCACTCTGGCAATCAGTGGGGAGAATCCTTAGAAAGCTAAAATTAATCTAAAATATAATTAAGCTATAGCACTCCTTGGCATATGTCTAAAGGGCATCCCACTCCACAGATAATTCCTCAGCCATATTAACTGTTATTCTAGTCACAATAGGTAAGAAACAATGTAAATGTCCTTGAACAGATGAATTAATAATGACAATGTGTGTATATATGCACTATGGAATACTATCCGGCTATAAAGAAAAATGAAATCCTGGCATATGCAGGTAAATGGATAAAACTAGAAAATATTTTACTGGGCAAGGTAACCCAGACGCAGAAAAACAAACATCACGTGTTCTCTCTTGTTTATGGATCCTGGCTCCAAGTCTTCAGATGTGAGCATATAACCTGGAGTAACTGCAGAAACAGGGAAAGTTTTCCTGGCAGGAGGGGGAAGGGTGTTAAAGAGAAGGGAATAACAGGTGCTAAGCAAGGGAAACAGGAAAAGCGGGAGAGGAAGACTTACCTGGGGAAGAGGGTAAGCAGCATAAAAGATGCTTGAAAAAGTCATATGAATCATAGTAGTTTATGTTTACTTAAAACACGTACGTGTGTGTGTGTGTGTGTGTGTGTGTGTGCGTGCGTGCGTGTGTGTGTGTGTGTGTGTGTGTGTGTGTGTGTGTATATGTATGTGTGTGCGCACATGCGTTTACTGAAGTTACACCACCAGGGGTGATAATGCTCCCCCCAAGAGTGATAGTTTATCTAACAAAAGCCCCAGTGCCAGGCATAGGAAATGCCTTTGGAGCTGTTGCTCAGAGGCGTACAAAAGTCCCCACCTCCACCCCACCAAACAATACAGGCTATTGCCTTGGCCCTTGGTTGCTTATAAGAACTGAAGGTAAGACTCTCTCGCTGAAGACAAAACACACTTCAGACAGAGAATGGAAGAACAGAACTAGCAGGGACCGGAAAGACTCCTCCTAAAGGACTAGTTCTCATAATATCCAAAGGTTTTCTCCTTCGCCAAGGGAGAAAAGCAATAAACAGTCATACTCAGCTGCAAAGCCTACAAACCACAACTATGACCAGAGCAGCAGCGACTCTGAAAAGTGCAATAATGGCACCGATGTACACTGGGGTAACCAACAGCCACCTTACTGGACTTAGCCACTCAACAAGAGGGGATGCGTGCCCGGTCCTGCCAACTGGGCAACTGCTCATGGCTGGAGAAACCACGGAGGAGGGTAGAGAAGAGCTCACTTTCCTAAACCACCACAACTGAGTCCTTTTAAATCTTTATCCTATGTCCACAGGAAGTGCGGCTCTGACTTCACCAAAGAAGCTTCTTCCTGCAGCAGATGAACGGTTACAGAGAGCCAGAACCGGTCAAAATGACAGTCTCCAACACAACTCGTACAGCCAAGGCTCAGGCAACACTGCAGAAAGGGGGTGGTTCAAAGCCAGAGCCCAGGATGTCTGCTGAGAGACAGTGTCTTCCATATGAAACTGCACCCATGACATCTCAAAAGCATGGTTACCCAAGTACTACCTGGAAAATGACAGTGCCAACTGACATGCCAATGTGGACGGTGGAAATCTCACAGGGCCCCAGCCCTGAAGAGCTACAGCAATCAATGCGGCTGAGAAAGGGAGGGAGAATCAGCTTCGTAACCCTGATAGGTCACCAACCCCGAGCAGTCAGCCCTAAACACATATACATGAGAGCAACACTAAACGGACTCAGCAAGTTGTATTTATATATTTATTCTCTCTCTCTCTCTATCTCCCTTTCTCTCTCTATATATATATATCTTCCTTTCTCTCTCTCTCTCACATACACACACACACACACACACACACACACACACACACACAAGGATAATAAGAGATCATGATTTTAAACACACACACACACACACACACACACACGCGCACACACGCACGCACGCACGCAAGCGCGCGAGCACTCGCGCACATAATAAGGATAATCAGAGACCATGATCTGAAAGGGGGGTGCAGAGATGACACAGGAGGAGTTGGAGGGAGAAGACAGGGTGGGAAATGATGTAAATACAGTACACATATATAAAACAAAAACTAAAATTTAAATGGAAAGAAACAAATGATGGCAGTTGCCTCCCAGGTTTTGCTCTTGCTGTTGCACTGTTTCCCAATTATAACCGAAATGACTGCATCACTTTCTCACATTTCTGTAAGGACTAAAATAATTAACAGCTTACTTTCATCATCTTTTTGGTTTCACGGTTGAGAACCATCTCCAACACGAATACATCGCCTGCGGTGGGTTGCTCAGATGTTTCCTCCTCTTCCTCCTCTTCTTCCTCCTCCTCTTCATCATCTTCAGTCTCTCCGAGCATGGAAGCAAAGACTTTGTGAACTGACTTACTCACTCCATCTGATGTTTCTCCTAAGGAAAGGCACATTGAAGTTTGGGGGGGGGGTACTTTAAAAAATTGCTGGTTCATAGAGTATAAATCCCTAAGCACAGCAACAACGAACGTGAAAGTTATGGCAGATAAACACCCTCCCCACACCCAGAGGAAAAGCCACCACAAGCCAGGTCTCTTACTCTGCAGGCGTGGCTGATTCACCCTCTACACCTCATCCAGACATACAGCAAAATGATGAGCCAAGTCAAAAGCACGTACAGAAACAGGTAAAGTGGAGAGGGGAAGCATTTCTCAGTGACAACGCAGCACAGATGTAAGACCTAGGCAAGCCTAATGGCAGGATGACCGGTAACTGAAACCTGAGAGGTGTGAGGCTAAAGACAGGAGAGGAGCTTCTTAGCCAACTGAAATAGCTAACTGGTGAGCTACAGGTTCAGTAAGTGTGGTGGTTTAAGTAAGAATGGCCCCCACAGGCTCCTATATGAGTGCTTAGTCACCAGGGAGTGGCACTATTTGAGAAAGATTAGGAGGTGTGGCCTTGTTGAAGTAGGTGTGGCCTTTTTGGAGGAGGTGTGCCACTGGGGGTGGGCTTTGAGGTTTCAAAAGCCCACACTAGGCCCAGTCTCTGTCTCTCTGCCTAAGGATCAGGATGTAGCTCTCAGCTACTTCTCCAGCACCACACCTCCTGCCGCTATGCTCAATGCCGTGATAATAATGGACTAAGCCTGGAACTGTAAGCAAGCCCTCAATTAAATACTTTCCTTTTATACAAGTTGCTGTGGTCATGGTGTCTCTTCATGGCAATAGAACAGTGACTGAGACCGTGAGAAACTCTGTCTCAAAAAAACATGCTGGAATGTGATAAAGGGAGACACCCAGTGTCCACCTCTGGCCTCCATATAGAATACACAATTATCTGGCAAAGTTATTAGATACAGGCTTTAAAAAAAAATTCATATAGTTGTAAGAAATTGAACCCAGGGCCTTGCATACACTGTGCTAGGTAAGTACTCCACACTGAGTTGTATCCTCACTCCTCTTTTCTTTTTGAGACAGAGTCTCACTAAGTTCAGGCTAGCATTGTAGCCCAGAATGATCTTGAACCTGGGATCCATTTGTCACAGCCTCCCTAGTAGCTGGGATCACAGGAGGGTACTTTTATAATCAACAATAATGAACTGCAGATGAGATTAAAAGGTCTGGTCTGTGTGGTAGGTAGGAAACAACCTTAACAATTGGTATTCAGAAATATCAAAGAGGAAAAAGACACGATTCTAGAGACCACATCTTCCCAATTTGTAGATTCTGCCAGTCTTGTCCAAAGTGACCTTTCATCTACTCTGAATACATGCTTACACTATCGAGAATCTCCAAAGAGGTCGGACAATCATTCCAGAGGACAGACAGGATGACTTCAGCTCAAGCTAGCCAGTTCTTAACCACCAGAAATGGATTCAGCTGACCCTAATCCCACCCCTCTTCCACCATGAAAGGCCTAATGGCCTTAAATAGTAAGGCTGGCGATCACCAGAGTTACCACTGCTGTAACTGTACTCCAGAGACTGTCTACTGAAGAGCTCGCTTCTCCCTAAGCAGGTCAGAAGGACCCACAGGCTGTCAGGGCTTCTTCAACCCCCTTCCTACCCTACTTGCCTGGAAGACACTAACCTCAATATTGTCTCTTTATCTCTTCTTCCAACATGGTCCAGAAACTCAGGATGAAGTGTGAGTTTTCCATGCAAGAGCTTACTTGCTCAGAGAGAAAAGTACCACACAGAAGTCGAGCTCACCAGCCAGGCCCCTAAACATGAAACTACATTCTAATTGACACCAGCATCCCAAGTAATTTGACAGAGGTAAATGGATACGATTAGCTATCAGCATCCTGACCATTAGACACATACATCAGTCACTAGAAACTGATAAATATCTGTGCTCATTTAGATACTCATTTAGGCCGTGATGGGCTTAGTTGGTCCAGATGTACTAACCAAATATAATATCTGGATATGAAAAGCTAAGGGCTGGGTCCTATTTTGCTTTCTGTCACTGTGATAACACAGTGACCAAAATCCACTGAAGGAAGAAAGGGCATATTTGGCTTCAAGGTTACAGGCCATCATCCAGGAAAGCCAGAGTAAGAAGCTGGAGGTACAAATGCAGCAGAGACCATGGAGGAACACTGTTCACCGGCTTGTTCTCCAAAGCTTGCTAAGATTGCTTTCTTACACGACCATGACCACTTAGCCAGCAGTGGCACCACCCAGAGTGGGCTAGGCTGTTGGGCCCTCCCACATCAACCATTAACCAAGAAAATGACCCACAGACATGCCTACTAACCAATAGGTCCCTCTGCCTAGGTGACCCTAGTCTGTGTCAAGCTGACTAAAAGCATCCCAGTCTGGCTGCTGGAGCAAGGCAGCACATCAAAATACCTATGATGCGAGTGAAGTCCCGTCTAAGCATGTAAGTTTCTACAGCAGTACAAATTTGGTACGGCCCCGAAGAAGTGTCCCACTGAGAAGGTCAATTTTGAAAATGACAATAACAAGGCCCTAAAATGCTGGCATCAATGTTAAACCTCACAACACTGGAGCTATACCAAACAAACCATCATGATATACAACAGTTTAAAGAAATATATTAAGCAGCTAATATGTATCACTGATCACTTATCACACTGATAAGCCAGGCAATAAAAATGGGCTATCATTACAATGAAAGCAAATAACGTTATTACCAAATCACTTTGCCTAAGTGCTCTTTTGTTGGTGGTGGTTTCTCAAGGCAGAGTTTCTCTGTGTAACAATCCTAGCTGTCCTGGAATTCCCTTTGTAGACCAGGCTGGCCTCGAACTCAGAGATCCACCTGCCTCTGCCTCCCAAGTGCTGGGATTAAAGGCGTGTACCACCACCACCCAGAGCTTAAGTGCCTTTAACATTTAAAGCTGACAGCAGGCCGGGCAGTGGTGGCGCACGCCTTTAATCCCAGCACTCGGGAGGCAGAGTAAATAAATAAATAAATAATAAAGCTGACAGCAAATGAATTCAACACACCTTCATTGGCATCTTTGTTCTGGGACTTGGCAGAGTCAATTCCTGAAGAGGATGGGACTTCCGAATCTGGGTTTTCTTTAGGTGATGATTTTCCTTTTTCCTGAAGACTCATACGATTGAAAATTAGTTAAACAGTTCAAAAACTAATGCGGATTTAACTCTTCCGGCCTGGGACTGGGCATTTGCGTTATCTTTATAAAACTTGAACCTGCACTTGTGGGATATGGAATCTAAGTTTGAATAGTTTCAGAGCATTTCAAAGTACTGAGAAGTCTTAACTTTAGTTTATGTAAGTCACTTGCAAATATGTATAGGATAATTTAAAATGTTTTAATTTCATTAATTTAACACTTTAAATAAAACATAGGATGTTTAGTAGTCCATGATCAATAAGAAACCACGGGCTAACTTCAAAAGTCAACAGATTTCATGTTCCCTTAGCCTTCAAATAAGTGAGAACATTTTTAAAGCTCGGATATTTATTAAAATTTGAAAAACAAGCCGGGGGGTGGCGCGCGCCTTTAATCCCAGCACTCGGGAGGCAGAGGCAGGCGGATCTCTGTGAGTTTGAGGCCAGCCTGGGCTACCAAGTGAGTTCCAGGAAAGGCGCAAAGCTACACAGAGAAACCCTGTCTCGAAAAACCAAAAAAAAAAAAAAAAAAAAAAAAAAAAAAATTAAAAAAAAATTTGAAAAACAAGGTAAGACGACGACCTTGTTTTCAGGCAAATATGTTCACTTTCATGTCTAAGATAAAATTACACCACTAAGACTCCTCAAAAATAGGCACCCCAGGGGTGTAGCTCAGTGGAGGGGCACTTTTGTCCAGCAAGCCGGAGGCCTTGAGGTTTGGTCCCCAAGACCACTGAAACGTATGACAAAAACAAAAGGCCTGGTTCCTAGAGAATGGTGGCGCGTACGTGCCCCACCCACGGTGACAAGCTAGGGGCAAGATCAGGTTTAGGACAAGTCAAGACTACCCTGGCTGCAGACGCCCCCAGCTCCAGTCAGCTGGAGATCATTGGGCTATCCCCGAATTAACACTAAGGTGTCGAGAGAGGTTAGCGCCCGCCGAGGCCAGCTTTGGAGTGGGGGGATGTCTCCAGAGGCGCTGTGCCGGGGTCGGGGAGGGGGGTGAAAATCGGCGTTTCTGGGAGAGGAAGAAGCTGCCGGGGTCCCCCGCCCACCCCGGGCACCGCACGCCGCTGTTTCGGGAAAACAAGACCGAAGAGCACGGGCGCCCAGCGACTCACTTTCTTCTCCCGGGTTTTTCTCTCTTCTCTCCGCCTCTCGAACTCCTCAAAGGAGATTTTCCCTTCCAGGTAGTCGATAAGTTCCGGGCTGAACCCCGACATGTCTGCGGGGCCGAAGCGGGGCAGCGGACCGGGAAAGCGGGAACACCCGGGCTCTAGCCGGCGCCTCGGAGAGAGGCGTCCGTCCCGGAAAGCTCCCCGGCCTGCGCCGCGGCTGCGCACTCGGGTTCCGCCGGCGCTCTAGGCCCCGGGCCTCCTCGTGCAGGCAGAGAACAGCCAAAGGCGTGCTTCAGAAGCCAGCTTCCCCTGGGCTGCCGGCTGAAGGAGACCTGAAGGAGGGAGGCAGCACAGGCCAGGGCGTTTGCCTGGGTTTCTAGCTCTAACGTCAGCCAACTTTTTCTGTCCCGGACACTCAGACTTTTAAAGGGAGTGAAATTCCTCATCTAGGGTGGCTGCTTTTTTGCCTGTTACATACATCTCTCAAAATAATGCTTAGAAACCTAGGAGAGAAGAAAAGCGGCCTAAGGGAGAGGTGTGGGGAGGGTAATAGAACACATGTGAAACGAAAGGGAGAAGGGCAACACCTGAGGTGGAAAGGCTTGGGGGAGGGGCGGTCAGTGAGGAGAGGAAGGGGTGGGGGTGAGGGTCAAACGTGCTTGTGATCATACACTCACGCGGAGGGGGGGCATTCTTTTCAACTCCTATAAGCTCCTGTGTTTGCATCATATTTATGTTATAGGTGTTTCTTTGTCCTATTCTAGAACTACCGATAAACATATGTACATGGACAGAGAGAGAGAGAGAGAGAGAAACATTTTCAACTCCTGTGAGCTCCTGTGATTTGCATCTTGTTTTATATTAAAGCTATTTCTTTGACCTGTTCTCGAGGCACTACTACCCATGAGAACATTAGCTTATGTATCATTATAAATCTGACTAACCTAATAACGTACTCAAAACAGATTTGTGAATCAAGTTGAATGAAACTAAAAGAGCCTTTGGAACTTCGGGCAAAAAGGACTTGAGCTCAGCCTACTCCTGACTTCAGAGACAGGCTACAGGGATCCTGTCTCTGACCATCATTATGATAACCCAGGGGAAGATGATCTGTAGCAGGGTGACAGAATCAGAGGGCAGGACCAGCAAGAGCAAGATTGTCAGAAGACAAACATGTCTCAGTTAGGAGTCACTGTTTCTCACGGAGAAGGATCCTCAGTGTCCTACACAGTCATGAAAACACACAGGGGCAGATGGAGTGTGTTAATGTATCCCCAGAAACTGCTATGGTGATTACTCCCCTGAAGTCTTCAAGCAGTTGGAGAACTGTGTCTAACAAGTCAGGACTGCCGGGCGGTGGTGGCGCACGCCTTTAATCCCAGCACTCGGGAGGCAAAGGCAGGCGGATCTCTGTGAGTTCGAGGCCAGCCTGGTCTACAGAGTGAGATCCAGGAAAGGCGCAAAGCTACACAGAGAAACCCTGCCTTGAAAAAAAAAAAATGAAAAAAAAAAAAAAGAAGTTATGACTGTCGCCAGGGGAAAGAGAAAGATAGAGAAGAAGGGTGGGTACCTCTCAAGGAATCACTCAAGACATAAATGCTTAGGTTGGCTCTTGTTGCTGTTGACCGACTGGAATATGAGAATGACGGTCAATAGATACAGATGCGTATTAAAGAGAGGGGATATGGACAGAGGTGGGAGGAGCTATGTTCTGCTAAGATCCATCCACAGGACATGGAAGTTTTCTAGGGGTCAGAATATAACAGAATGTCTTCAAATTGAACTTGTTTTTCATTTTCTACTTCCTTGTAGTGATTTGTCCGTTGATGAGTCAGAGACAACCACATTACCTGGAGATGGATCCCAATTGTTACAGCAGTAATGAAACTACCAAGAAGAAACAATTGCGTCTTTCAGACTGATTTTTGAGACTCAAAATGGAAAGTCTAAAGGAAGTAGAACATTGAATTTATGCCATGACAATTGAATTAAAGAGTACAGAGAGGTGACTCTATTTTTTCCCTTGTTAGGGAATGACACAGAAAGAGTTGTGATGCTCCTGAGGAGACCATTTTTCCATGGGCCTCTCATTCTTCTGCAAAAGCTTGTGGATTTTTCTCCAGTACTTCATCTTTGTATATCAAACATCATGAAAGTGGATGTCTCATTCTGGGACAGGAAGCATACTTTTTTTCTTTTTGAGATAGGGCCCCCCCCATCTCTCTCTCTCTCTCTCTCTCTCTCTCTCTCTCTCTCTCTCTCTCTCTCTCTCTCTCTCTCTCTCTCTCTCTCTCTCTGTGTGTGTGTGTGTGTTTAACCCTGACTGTCCTGGAACTCACTATGTAGACCAGGCTGGCCTTGAACTCAAAGAGATTCACCTGCCTCTGCCTCCTGAGTGTAGGGTTTAAAGATGTGTACCACCACACCCAGCCTAGATATCTTTTCTAATCACTATAATAAAGATACTATTTCCCTCTGAGGTGAAAGTTGGACCTTTTCCCCCTAGCAAGCTCATAATAAGGAGAGCATTTCCTACATTTTGAGCTCTTCAGCTTTGGTGGGAACACACCTATTTCCAGTATACCCCTGGGCCCATGTTCACATGCCTCCTTCAATAAATCAGGACTAAGAACCCAGTAAGAAAATGAGTCTTGCTCCCTGCCACACCTGAGTCATTGGGTCAGTTGTCTCTGTTCAGGAGCCTCATTGCCTGCCAGGATTGAGGAAAATGCAGAAAGATAATATTTTGCAAATAGGATAAAGATCTCAGCACTCTCAGAAGCTCTTGACCACACTAGATCCAGAAGAGGGGCCATATCCTAGAAATGGATTCCTCATTGAAGCGGAGCAAAGTCAGGATGGAAAGGTTGCTGTGAACCTATATAGAAATGCCCTAAGGAGGGGCATCCAAAGCATGCAGGCTCAGTAGCAGGCTGGGCAGATGCACACCATGTGGGCATGGTGGCGGCGGTGGCCAGTAATTCACAACCCAGACGGTGCATCTACGTGGAGAGTTTATTATAATAGAGAGATAAAGAGAAAGATAGGAGGGGGGAGGGGGGAAGGGGAGGAGTTTTTCCTTAGAATGAGGCTTTTACCTCAGGACAAAGGGCAGTGCCAAGGGGTGGGGTTTCAAGGGGCAGATCAGGATATTAACACATAGAAGTGAGGAACCCCTCACCCAGCCATTTACCTGAATGAGCTGCTGCTATACTTTGATGAGGAATAACTCATTAGTAATTGCTTATATTTTTAAATGGTGGAAAATAATCTTGTTAACTAAAGCGTCTTCTGCTTTACATTCAGTACTGTGTGAAGGATGGAAGACACACTTAAATTTAACAAGTATTCATTGAACACCTGCTCCACGACAGACACTGGAGAACAACAGAGTCACATGATGGTTTCTGCTCCCAAACATCTCACAACCCTCCAGAGACAAGCACTTAAATCATTAACTGCAATAGAATATACTAAGTCGGACGCGGAACTGGTTCTTGCACAAATGTTTTATTCTTCGTATTCAGCATCGACAGTCCTCAAAAAGCTATAGTAAAACATTTTGGAATACACAGACTAATGATACCAGAACGGGGCTGTGTGAATTCTGGGACAATGTTCCTTGCTTGGACCACACAGAAAACATTGCCAGTATTCATAAAAACACAGGAAAAGTAGGTATATCAAGTGAAAATATGGAATCAGAATGGCTCAGTAGGAGCTGTGACATGGGGAGTGGCTTGGCTGGAGGAGTGGGGAATTCACCTTTGCTACTGTCCCTTGTTGAGTGACTTGTATTTAAAGGGAGGCTAGGGAAGAGACGGATATTTGACATGGGGCAGTTTTTAGCTTTGAAGGCAGCATGAAAGCATCTCCCAGAGACCCTGTGGCAACTAGAATCTTGTTTGTCTTCTGCTTCAACTCCAGTGGACATTCATCACCCTCATTCAGTAGGTGATGAGTTCTTTCAATGTCACAAGCTAAAAGTGGGACTTGTCATCTTTTTAGAAGGAAAAAAAGACAAATCCTAAATCTGAATCCCTATTATATAGGATAAACTGTATAAACAGGTCTGAATCCCCGTTATGTATAATACACTGTAGTAAAAAGTAAACACATTTTTTAAATAAAATTTTGCTTAATAATAGGTAATAAATATAAAAGACGATTTTAAATCATGCTCCAAGAAAACATTGAACTTGGAAAATCATCGTTTTATTTCACTTGTACTTTTGTAACTCCTTCAAATACATGCAATCTCCCACTTTATGGTCATAAAGGGGGAAATACTCCTGAAATATGCATGTCAGTATCATATGTTGCAAAGGTCCAATTTTGTACATGCAAAATCCAGAAATGTAGAATAAAATTACTATAAATTGACTAATAAGGAAGGGAAAACGCACAAGAGACTTCAGCCATGGTTGAATTTTCTACTGAAAAGTTTTTCTGCAGCTTTAACATGATGACACCTGAAAAAGCAAGAGAGAGTTGCAGTGCAAGCAACAAGGAGCATCTGGTAGCATAAAGACCCCAAATTGATCCCAGAAATAGCTGGATGATAGCTCATAATTCAGAGGTACCCCACACCGGAAGCTGTGAGTACTTCCGGTGTACTTAGTCTCCTGTCCCTAGGTACTTCCTCATCGTGTACAGGAGCATTTGTCTTGTTTTCTCTGCAGTTTCCTATGAGCTAGGGATGAGTAGTGAAGTAGCCATGAAGACGCTTCACACTGAACAGGCATTACAACAGGAGTAACTGTTCTCTGTCTTAGACCCCCACACCCTAGAGCCTCTGTAGGAAAAAAACAGGGAAGGCTCTTGACCTCTCCCTTTGCCCTACGTTATTTTCTCAATTTAGGGCAGCATTCAAATGCATATTCCACAAATTAAATCCCATCGTTTTAGAATAACAATCATTTCCTGTTACTTTTAAGAGAATTAATAATGGAAAGCCTTTCACAAATGCAGTAGAGAACAGTGGTTGCTAACTCACAAGAAATCCATGTACTTTTGGAAGAATGGGGAGAGATTTTAATTATGATCCCATTGCCTTTATTGGCCAGCTAAACAAGCTAGAATAATAATGTTTTGAATATAGCATACCTGCTGCTTCTAAAACCATACCTATTTGTTTGATAAGAATGCAAAATGAAATTCAAATCTTAACTATAAATACATTCTAAATGTTTTCCTATAAGAAAATGCCATCTTTGCTAATATTGTAATTTGTTTTTCTAGGTGAGGAAGTCCAAGATCAAAGATATGCACACTTTCCCCCCAAAAGAACTACTCTTTTAACTTTCCCATTTATTGCAAGTAATTAATGTATTTCTTTACATATAATTTTCGATATAACTTACCTTTATGACCAGGTCTGAAAAAAAAATGCTTAAGTAAGACTATGTACTGTTTCGTTAATTTAAAAATCCTCCTAAGCGTGACAATTCTATGATTTTACTGTACTTCTCTGTAGAAGGCTATGCTTCAACATCATCACTATCATTTATTTTAAAAACCAGACTTTGCCTGAGCCAAATCTAAATATTTAATAATGATGGGTATAATCAAAACTGAGGGCTGAATTCTAAGAAATCTTTTCAAAATCTCTCCTGCATGGCTGTGTGCTTTCACAGACCCTGGGGCCAAAGGGGCAGCATTACCTGGGCTCCGAGGCTTTCAGCCCTTGTAGGACTTAGGGAGGGAGTTTTTCTGCTCTTCGTAGTCTGCAAACGCAGAAGCAATATGTTCCGCCTGGAAAGAGCGAGGTCTGGGGTCCTCATTCATGGAGAAGGTATTCGGAAGGCTCCCAAGATCAAGTCCTCTGCCTTTAAAATAGGCCTGGAGGCTTCTGAAAAACTGAAGAAACAAAATGCTCAATGACTTACAAAAGAAACATCCAAATTCCCAGAGTCGCATGTTTACCTCCCTGCCTTCTCCCGGAATTGACTTAAACGCTAACCAGAGAAGAGAGGAATTGGATAAACTAGAATGGCTTTAAGCTTCTCCCATTTCTTTCTAAGCCTGCCCGCTTTCTGATCTTTCAGCTCTCACAGGGCAATTCAGCATTCTTGGTGGCAACCCAGGGAAGGTATAAATTATGAAGTCACACTTCAGGCAGAGATTCATAGTGAGCCATCTCCGACCAGCAAGGTCAGAAATGAAACCAAATTCCACGAAGAAGCAGTGAGCGTTTCTCCACTGCCTGAGGGGACTCCAGTTACTGTCCTGGACCACTGTCTCTCTTTCCAGACAAGCCTTTATCAAATGAACAGCTAGAAGCTGTGCAGAGTGCGAAGCCTACGTGGTGGTTGTAGCTCACATCACTTTCTTTAGAAAAACTACATTTGAAATAGTCACGTCACCACGCTCACGGATCTGGGTATACTTTAAAAGCGTATTTTACTGATCTTCTGAATTCTGTTTTCTCAATATCTATATGCTGGACACTGACAGCTGTGCAGGGTCCCCTTCCAGTCTCTGCAAATAAGCTTTGCAAATGCTGTTGTGGGATAATCCGTTTAATCATATAGATAGGCCTTACAAAAAAGCGATTCTCTCTTGCTTTCCCTTTCCTCCTCTCCCTCTCCCCCTTTTGCTGCTGTCCTGGGAACCAAACCCAGGTCCTTGTGCATGCTAGACAAGCTTTCTAACATCAAGCTAAGTCCCAATACTCCTTTCATATTGTATGTGCATTGAAATCAATGCTCTAATGCCGGTGTATATGTAAGATTACTTACACATGCGACATGCTGTGTATGTATAAACTCACTCCTAATATCAACTTGATCTGCATAGAGAAATAAATGTAAACTAGCTAAAGAAATATGAGGACGCCAGCTACTAGGAGAGCAAAATCGAGTCCTGTCCTGAGGAGAATCTTCTCAACTCTTGGTTGCCTCCATATAATTCTTGAGAGGTGCCAGCTGCATCCCTGAGCCAGTGCCCCCCAGGTGTGTTCTTACCAGTTCTCTGTTCCTGGGGTTGCTCAGTGGCTTCCACGTGTCTTTATTTCTCAGCATGGCTCCATGTACATGGCTGGTCAGTGCCAGGGCAGCCCACAGCAGCAGGAGGGGTACTTTGGACATGGTGCTGTGTAAAAGGGGGAATTATGGTCACCAAGACACTCAGAGAGAAGAGAAAGAAACAAGGACCCAGGCAGATAAAGGAGAAGAAATAGCGTTATGGTTCACCTAAATTTTATAATCTTTTTTTTTTTTTTAGGTTTGTCTGCAAATGAGGCTCTTGAAATTTAGTGGACTAGCTTAAAACGCTTCACAATGATAGAAAAACTATACTGTGCTGAGCAAAGCAATGTGACTGTACCTAGAAAGTCTAGGTATGCCATTTAAATATATATATACATCTATATACACTTTTTATATACACTTTTTAGTCTTAAGGCAGCAGATTTTTTTTTTTTAGGTGGAAACGAAATGGTAAAGAAATAGAAAGTACTTTGGCGGGGGATATACCTCTATGGTAGAGTGATTGTTTAACATTCACAAAGTCAGTCTCCAAGCACTTCTAATATCAACCCTGGTACTACAAAAACTGAGAGAGAAAGACAGATACAGAGAGAGGGGAAGAGAAAAGGAGGAGGAGGAAGGAGGAGGAGGAGGAGGAGGAGGAGGAGGAGGAGAAGAAGAAGAAGAAAAGAAGAAGAAGAAGAAGAAGAAGAAGAAGAAGAAGAAGAAGAAGAAGAAGAAGAAGAAGAATTTAAAATAGCAACAAAAAAGAATACTTGAAGTACCCTAAACTGAGAAATGTCCCCAACATACACGTAGCAGACGGACAGACACCCACAGCAGCATAAGCAGAGATTCTTTTCCATGCCACGGTGTGACATGGAAGCTGAGACACAGACAGAGGCAGTAAAGCTTACCAGGAGATTGGCTTCGCCTGGCCCAGCCTACGATCTGCCAGCAGTTCCCGGGTTCTTATAACCAGTGGACGGGCTGCAAGAGGGAGCCTCTGACGTGAGCAGAGGCAGTTTAAAAATAATGAATCCATTTTCATCCATGGCACAAAGACCCTTGAGCAGCAGATCTCCCGGCATCTTCACGGGTAACTCATTTGTCTTTTAAGTGTGCCAGCTGCTTCGTGAACCACTGGCCATATTACATGAATTTTATAAAACACATGGGCCACATCCCCTTGCTAAATAAAGTGGCCCTCTCTTTTCTCGTGTTTAGGCTGGGAATATGATGATGACTATCTCACCTAATAAGATGTGCTTTGACAGGTATCAGTTTTCAAATTAACAGCATTTTTTTTTTGAAAAAGAAACTCTATTGCAAAAGACAAAATTGCTCTTTTTGGCCTACACGTGGGATCTTCTTCTTCTTAGAAATAGTGGCATGGTTTGCTATAATAGCCCATCCAAGATGAAGCAACCAGATAGCATATACTTCACTGAAAAATGGAAAATGACTATACCTACAGCATCCCCTTGCTAAATAAGTGCCATCTGAAGGAAATGGTACGGCCGAGAAATTGAACTCGACGGCTTGTGAATTTGCTGTGGTTCCAATGACTCAGAATGAAATTGAGGACAAGCTCATTGTTCAGAAGTCTAGTGATCCGAACTATAAATTACAATAATTGGCTGTGGTTGTCAAGGTGGTGCGCGCCTGTAATCTCAGTACTTGGAAGCTACAGATAGGATGATCAGCCAGTTAAGGACAGCCTAGGCTACGTTTTGAATTCGAGACAGCCTTGAATATATGAGACCCTGTCTCAAACAAACAAAAAACTGGCTATTGTTTCAACTTGCTGCCTTGACTATGAACAAATTTATGACATTCATTTGTTCATTTTGTGTTCAATCAGCAGATGCCTCTCTTTTTTCTTTTATTTCCTTTCTCTCTCTCTGTCTCTCTGTCTCTCTGTCTCTCTCTCTGTCTCTCTCTCTGTCTCTCTCTCTCTCTGTCTCTCTGTCTCTGTCTCTCTCTCTCTCTCTCTCTTTTCTTTCTTTTTTGAGACAGGATCCCACTATGTAGCCTAGGCTAGCCTCAAACAGGCAATCTTGCTGCCCATGGGTGCAGAAACTACAATGTGTACCACCACACCCGGCTCATATTACCGAGTCTTCACTATGTATGAGCCACTGCACTGAGCTTTGAGGGCAAATGGTAAAGTCCCTGCCCTCAGTGACCAAAGCTGAAGAGAAGACCAACATTTCCCCACCATTATTCTGTTTAGTTAGTGGTGACTTTTTGTGGGGCTGTCAGTTGAATCCAGGACCCTGTACATAGTGGGCAAACATCCTCCCATTGAGCTATAGGCCCAGCCTTTGGTGATTTTGAGACAATGTTAGTCTGTCCTTAAACTGGGGACCCTTCAGCTTCAGCCTCTGGAGTCCTGGAATTGCATACCACCATACCCAGCTGATGATGACAATTTCCAGCGGGAGAAAGTGTAGAACTGGGGATGTGATTCATTCTCAAGGGCCAGAGGAAGTGACCTTACATCCAGTCAATTGATTAGGAGTTACCTAGGCAACCTCAGGAAGGCAGAGAAAGCAGCTGTCAGACAAGCTGGGCAGCTGCGGCTGAGGGGAAGAGAGCACCTTAAGCAGCTGAAAATAACTTAGCAGGCCAGATGAGAGATGGAGGGGGCTCCTGGGGAGGGAGATGGGGTGGGAGAGGCCATCGAAGCATAAGATCACTACTGCAAGAAATGCTAAGAAGTGATTGCAGAGTTTTAAACATCTGAACAGCTTAATCAAATTGGCATTAAAAAAGAAAAAAAAAAGATTCTGGCTGCGGTGGGAAGGGGAATGTGTGAAGTCAGAGAAGTGGTGGTTACCTACCGTGCAAGCAGAAAAAGGTGGGTTAGGGCAGACTCAGAGATGGGTGGATCTGAGCGGCTTTTGAGAGGGGACAGTGTGGGGGACCAGGGCTATGGAAAGGGGGTTTCAAAACCAATACCCTCGCCTGTGGGTTGTGCAGCTGCGTGATTACAATGCCATTCCTGAGACATCAATAACTGGCATGAAGGAGTGACAGCCACTATTCCAAGTTAAGTTTGAGGAGATCTTTGAGATCCAGCAGCAATGGACAGTGTGAATGGATATGCAGGTCCGAAGATCAGAGGAATGCTCGGTCAGAAAAGATCAGACTACCACAGTAAAGTTCAGAAAATGAGAAGCCCAGGAGACCTAGGACTTGAATTTGAGACTATGGAACATGCTAACCTCATACAGAAGTCTACCAAAAGAGACCCTGGGGTGGGGTGGGGTGGGGTGGGGTGGGGTGGGGTGGGGTGGGGAGTAGTCAGGGAGCAGGGAGGCAGGAGCAGAGTGTTTCAAAAGGGACATGCTGGAGAAGGCAAGCCCTGGAATGGGTCTGGGGCCGTTAGAGCTGCATTGGTAGTTGAGGTGAGAGACAGGAAGGGAGCAGGCAGGGGAGGAGAATGCAGCAGGACAGCCAGCTCCCGGAGAAGAAAAGGCAGGAAGTATGAGGAAAGCGGAGTCCAGGGGAGTCATCGATGGTTAGTTCTGTTTGCTCAGACCCTGGGTAACCCAGGCTGAATGTGAACTTGAAATCCTCTTGCCTCTCAAGTGCTGAGGTGATCATGCTTATTTTTAATATGAGATTTTTAATAGAGATTGTTGAAAGGTCAGCGGATCTGTGAGGCAATGAATATCCTGAAATGTCTTCGTGTTATCCTCCTGTTAGAACTCCAGGACTTGGAGCTAAATAAAGCTCCTAATTACCTGGAAGTCCCAGATTGCTCGGAAACTCTGTGGACAATGCACATTTTTTTAAAAATTTCTGCTTTTTATTAAGAGAGAGTCGTAAAGCAATCTGAAACCATAAAAACATCAATGACTAACATTCTTAGGCTTTACAAAGAGGTAGTTTCCATTTCTTGACTCTTTCAAGATCCGAATAAATTTATTTAATATCTTATAACCCTGTTAAATTTCTGGATCATTAAGAAAAGGCAAGAACAATAAAAAATTCCCTAAAATTGTATAAAAAAATATAAGATTTTTATATTAAATAATATATTTTTATATATTATTTATATATATTTATATATATTAAATAAATAATTTTATATAAATTTTATCATATTAAAATGATAGTAGTGAGTTGCTTCCTAGAAAGAATATACCAATAAAATATAATTTATTTTTTCATGGAAACAATAGTTTTTGTTTTACCATTTCTGTTCTGTAGTCAAGAAAGATTAAGATTAAGTGATAAATCCTTCGAAATATACCCTTTCCTATGATGTAAAGGCTTCTGTTAATAGCTAGTGCTAACAGAACTCAGCCCAATGCACACACACGGGGCTTTTAGAATAAGAAAGAGCAACTGAATAAATGGGGTAGATTCCCACAGCCGCTGGTCTAAGTAATTTCTCATTTGGGCCCATGTGTATGGTAACAAAATTCACCTATTCTCTGTTTTACCCCCCAGCCTTATTTAATAAAAATCACTCTGAAAGATGATTTAATTCATCATGTAATGTTCCAAGATCTTCCTATTTAAGAAATATTTATAGTTCCTCAGAGTAAACATGGAGATAATATGATAGTGTAACTCATTAACACAGAGTTTACCTGGTTGCTAAAAGAAATGATCTATTAATAGAAACACGTTTTAATGTTATCCTCCGTTCCTTAACGTTTTCTCTTATTTAACTAGTTAGTGAAGTGGTGCTAGGATCCAAACCCAGATCCTGGTGCACGCAGGACTAGCAATCCAGCACTGAGTCTACAGCAGCCCAGCCCTGGCTTCTTTGAGACTGGGTCTCTCTTCAGCCGAGGCAACAAGCATGACCACACCGGCTCCGCAGTGCTGGAAACTGAGCGTAGGGCCCCATGCAAACATGTGATCTGCTTCTTACACCTCGGGCCCTCTTAGGTTTTAGTTCTTATTTTGACACAGGGTCTTGTTTATGGCTCAGGCTCTGTGATCTCTCTGCTTCAGCCTCCAGAGGAGCTGGAGTTACAGGTGTTTGTTTCCTAGGCCTCTAAAGAGCAGAGATGTCCCGTTGATGATGACACTTTTTTTCTGAATATATCAATACTGACTAGTGGATATTTTATAATTAATTAGTTGAGAGAGAGAGAGACAGAGAGAGAGACAAAGAGAGAGAGAGACAGATAGACAAAGAGACAGAGACAGACAGAGAGGAAGAGAGAGAGAGAGAGTTTTTCATTCATTTGCTTCTGGCCTAAATGATTCTATCTATCCTTTTCATTAAAAACAGAATTTCTAAAAGTAGCCTTTGGGACACCATAGGCAAAAGGTACTTTTCTACCTCGATGCATGTGAATGAGGTGCTTTGATGATATTTCTTAAATAGAAATTGGGAGAAAAATAGAGTATTCAACACAGGTATACACACATAAAAGAAACGCAATAACTATGTTGGCTTGAGTCACACGATTAATCATTTGATAAATTCAGACATAACAAGGTGGGAATGGGGAAAAGAATGCTAAATAAAGAAGATTAATGAAGGCAGACAGGAGTGTTTAGACTGTGTTAGGCACGGTAGCTGCTGGTATCCATCTCAGTTCTACACTGAAGAGATAAGAAGCCTCTGAGGATGTCTGTGTGGAATTATGTAGGTTAGACTGAGGTAGGATGACCCACCAGAACTGTGGGCAATACCAGTCCACAGACTGCAATTCCAACCTGAAGAAAAAGCAGAAAGGAAAATGGGAACCAGCGTTCATGGAAACCTGCTTCCTGACCATGGCTGCAATGTAAACAGCTTCCTCAAGTTCCCATGGTCATGACTTCCTCATCAAAACTGAGTTTACCCTCAAACTGTTGAGTCAGACTAGACCCTTTTATATTTAAGTTGTGTTTGTATTTTATCTCAGATGTGTGTGTGTGCGTGTGTGATATAAAAATATATACACACATAATTTTTTGAGGCTGTGTATCCCAGGATAGCCTTGAACTCTCTGTCCCATTGAGGGTAACCTTGAGCTTCTGATCCTCCTGCCTCTACCTGCCAAGTGCTGAGATCATTGGCATAAGCTGCCCTGCTCAGTGTATGTAGCACTGGGGATGGAACCTAAGGCCTGGGCCATGCTAGGCAAACATGTACTAGCTGAGCCCCCCCCCACACACACCCTGCTCAATTACGTCATGTTTTCAGTTTCACCTTGTCTCTACTAGGAGTGGAAAAGGTGATGGCGGTGGTTTAATGGTCATGAACGGGACGCAGAGTTGAATTTCCCTTTGGTTTGAGTCAGGGAAAAGAAAACAGTCTCCGTGCTTCCTTGGTGATGGTGAGGACTTTGAAAATATGAGGAAGTTTGTTCAAGGTTAATCAGCAGTCTTGTATGGTGACAGCTGGTTCGAATGTGGTGGCAGGGAGATTTTACTGAAGGTGGAACAGAGAGAAGAAAGGAAAAGAGAGGTAAAATGCTTACAATGTACAGAGCACAAAGGGGCAACAGTAACTGAGGTGCGTAGGAAGGAGATGTTTGACTCTTCCATCCAGGACCATAGAAGCTCCCTGATCCTGAGAGGCCCAGGGGAAGTGTCTTAGCTACTTTTCTAACGCTGTGATAGAGCACCGTAGGAGTTTATTGGGGCTTACAGTTTCAGAGGGTGAGTCCATGACCACCGTAGTGGAGAATGGCAGCAGCCAGGCACTGGAGCGAAGCTGAGAGCCCAGATCTTGAGACATAAGCATGAGGCAGGGAGATACTGAAAATGCCATGGGCTTTTTAAATCTCAAAGTCCACTCCCAGTGACACACCCCCTCCAACAAGGCCACACCTAATCCTCCCCAACAGTTCTACCAACTGGGGGAGCAAGCATTCTAACATATGAGCTCATGGGGGAATTCTCATTCACACCACCCACGGGAGCTGAGGGATGGCCCACAAACCAACCTCTGAAGTTGGATTGTCTCACTGGTGTGGAAGTATAGAGTCAAAGATGGCTAAGAAAACCCAGAGCCAAGCTAGGAGATGGTTCAGTGGGCAAAGCACCTTCTGTGCAGGCATAAAGATCCGAGTTCAGGTCCCCAGCACCCACTTAGAACGTTGGTTACGGTCTCGTGTAGCTGCAATCACAACAGTGGGAGGCAGAGAGAGAGAGAGAGAGAGAGAGAGAGAGGAGAGAGAGAGAGAGAGAGACAGAGAGAGAGACAGAGAGAGAGACAGAGAGAGAGAGAGAGAGAGAGAGGAGAGAGAGAGAGAGAGAGAGAGAGAGAGAGGAGGAGGAGGATTCTGGTGCTTGTTGGCTAGCCAATCTGTAAGCTCCAGGTTTAGTGAGAGACCCTGACTTAAAAAGTAAGGTAGACACAAACAAAGAAATCTGGCATCGACTTCTGACATCCACATGTGCACACATACAGGCAAGTACACACACACACACACACACACAGAGAGAGAGAGAGAGAGAGAGAGAGAGAGAGAGAGAGAGAGAGAGAGAAAAGAGAGAGAGAGAGAATAGTTAACAGTATGGTTAAGCATTTGCCTTAGTTACTGTTCTATTGCTATGAAGGAACACCCTTACCAAAACAACTTATAAAAGAAAAGCATTTAACTGGGGGCCGGCTTACGGTTTCAGAGGGTTCGTCCATTATCATCATGGTGGAGAGCAAGGCAGCAGGCAGGCAGGCACGGTGCTGGAGAAGTAGCTGAGAGCTTACATCTCATCCACAACCTGCAGATCTAGAGAGGGGGGAGGGAGAAGGAGAGGGGGAGAGGGAGGGAGGGAGGGAGGGAGGGAGGGAGGGAGGGAGAGAGAGAGAGAGAGAGAGAGAGAGAGAGAGAGAGAGAGAGAGAGTTGCAGGCAGAAAGAGCAAGTGAGACTGGGCCTGTGGTGGATTTTTGAACCTCAGAGTTTTCAAAATAAGGCCACATATCCTAATCCTTTCCAAAGAGTTCCACCAACTGGTGACCAAGCAATCAAACATATGAGCCTATAGGGGTCATTCTCATCCAAACCTCCACAGCATTTGTCCCTTTTAGTGGTAACAACTCTGAGTATTTGTGACCAAATGGCGCTGGCCTCCAGAGTTTCATGTGCACCTGAGACACACCTGCTCTGTTGTTTCCTGCCATTAGTTTTGCTCAAAGATTGTTAGAGGAGAGAGGACTCAGTCATGTTGCAGAAGCATGCTGGGTCCATACTATTTGAAATTTGTGTACCAAAGAGAAAAAGAGCTTCCTTTGCAATAAAGTCTGTTACAATTGTTTTCATCTCCATGGACCAGTCCTGGAAACCAGAGACCCAGATGCCACAGAACT